AGAGACAGGTGGGGCGGACTCGAGGCCAGCAGAGACAGGATGGGAGAGCGACGCTGGGCACCGAGCTATGGGGGAGAAATCAGGACCCGAAAACAGTAAAAACAACCTTCGCTTGCTCTTCTTTCCTCGACAGAGGGCTGACCAAACACTACTGGTGTCTAGTAGTTTCCTGAAGGTTAGTTCGCCACCTTCAGCCAGGGGCTCCAATAATTCTGCCCTTTCACCTTTGGTTTAATTGCAAACATGATCATTAGAGAATAAAATCGGAAGTATAATAAAGATGCATGGACTGTGGGTCGCGATTGGTGTTTCTAAATAATGTGAACAGGGTGAGGCCTGGGAGAATTAAAGCTTTGAAAGCTGGATGGACAGTCACTTGACATTAGACTTTTTTTTTTTTAAACAGTGGGTGAAATCACAGGAATGCTTGGTTTGGTTCTCTCCTACCAAAATAAAGGAATATTAAAATTTTCATAGCAGTACAAATGGAAACAGAGGACAAGCCAGTAATGGGGTGTAACCAAGTGGCACAGTGTCCCGAAGCCCAAGTAGAAAGATTTAAAGGTGTTGGCCAAAGGACGTGGGGTGGGGGGAGCAGGGAGGAGGCGGCAGAGTGTGACTCCAAGACATAACCTTTCTTAGCAGTGTATCGGGGGAAGATCTTTTAAAGTAGTGAGAAGAAAAGAAAAAGGAACCCAAAGTATTCTACCTCTGTTGGCACACTTTACTATCTATCGGCAGAACATAATTATATTGGCACGATTTTTAACTGTGACTGCTGCAGACAGGTCATCTGAAATGAATTACTTTTTAGTGGGGGGCTGGGAACCAGAGAGAGAGAGTTGAGACAATCACTGCAGGCAGAGGAGCCAGGGATTGTCTGCACAGGTGAGAGGAGCCCCGAGGGCCCATGTCCCACCACTCGGGGCTGAGTGGTGGCAGAGTCTGCGTTTCATTACCTAAGCTCCAGCTGCATCTTCTGTAAAGGGGGTGGGATAATGAGAGCCATCCCGCAGAACTGCTTAAGGATTAAGTGACCAAGTCTGGGACATCTTCAGCATCAGGTTCAAGCTCAGAGAATGGGAGCATTAATAATGAAAATATTAACATGGCTTTGTTTCCCAACCCCACTGAATTTGTCTTGGAATGGCTATGGCTACCCATTCTGATCTCTGAATCTTAATCCTCAAATGCACAAAGCCAAGACCGCTGAATGATTTAAATGGGGGAATGATCTAATCTTTCTTTTCTGCTGTCTTGTCTGTTTACATACCCAGGCAGCGGCAGGGGGATCCAGCCTGGGTTTGTGTAATTGTCCAGATAGCAAGGAGAAGACTCATTCAATTAGGTAACTTCCTGACGTGCACTTAGGATCAGAGTGTATGATGTCACACGTGCCTGGAAAATTGAAAGGCACCGGGTCTTCCCATGGATCGCCGCAAAGAGTGAGGTTGAACAGCACACCCGTTACGCTTGAGACGCAGACCCCGGTCCTTTATTTTTTTTAAGTTGTAAACACCTTTGGAGAACTGAATGAGAACTGTGGAGCTTTTCTGTGGTATGCATATATTATTAAAAATTTATGATTATATTTAAATGAATTTTAATGTTTTAAAATTTATAATTTTATCATTATAAAATTCTATTTTTCATATAATTAGGCATGTAATTATGGGAGGGGGTGGCTGGTGATCATCGGTTAAGAAACCCCTGGCTATAAAAGTGTAGGCTGCATTCCAAGGTATTCATTCAAAACTGGGATCGAAATCAAATTAAGGGAACAGAAAGTAAAACTTGAAAACTACGGTTCATGTGTAGGTTTGAAATCTCTACAAATAGTTTAAATATGAGATCAGTTTTAAAAGCATAGGAACTCGCTGTTATTCTTTTCTTCCTTTCTTCTTTTTTTCCTTAAGAAGAACACATCATTGGGGCTGGATGCCAAAGCAATGTTTTGCCTCAACCGCGTTCACTGTGGCCGAGTGGATTCCCCTGAGGCCCGTGAACTAGAGCAGAAACAGGACTCACAGTGACCATGGCACTTTCCCCAGATCCTCATGATGTGTTTGCTCTAGTCCGACAAATTTCTGCAATTAATTAAATAAACTTTACTCTGTTTCGGGTCTAAGTGGAGTATTGAGTCCATTATGGCAAAGGAATTACTGCAGAGTAGACAAAATAATTCCTTATGTGTGTTGGGATGGAACAAAAAGCTAGATTAAGCCAAGAGTATGAAGAAAGGTCCATCTAAGAGATGCCCATCACGTCTCAAGGTTCTTAGTTAATCAGTATGACTCTCCATCTCCTAAGTGCACTGGACTTGCCAGTTTGAGATTCTGCTGACAGGCCTGTCTTCCGCCCCCCATCACAGGTCCGTGTGGGCGGGAAATGTGCTCCCCGCCTCCTCCCGCAGATTACTCCACATACAGCAGAAGCTCCGTAAGTATGTCCTGAGACAAATTACTTCCTTTTCAAATCTGTTGCCCATTTTTTATTGGACTGTTTTTTTCCCTTATCAATCTGTAGCCCTTGGTGAATGCTGTTCATTTGTCTATTACCTTTGTAAATGTCACTTGCTTTTTAACCTTATATTTTTTTATCATACAGTACATAATTTATTTTTTTAAATGTAACCCAAATTATCAACCTTTCTCTTTTGGGTTTGAGCTTTTTATATGTTAAGACAGAGAGTCTCCTGTAAATAATGACTAAGGACATGGATTCCTCCTCAGGATTCAGATACACACACGCCACTGCATTTCACTTCTGCAGAAGGATGTTAAATGGGGCCAAAGGGTGAGGCCGGACCCAGCAGCCCTGGCAAAGAGACTATTTGAAAAGAACTCATGCATCCCTTGGCCCAACAGCCACCTGGAGGTTTCAAAGGGTTGACAAGGTTAGAAGCCTTCCTTTCTTCAAAGGAAATGGTCAACATGAAGAGTCAGTCCCATTTCTCACCTCCCAGTGGGAAGGATGAAACTTCTCCCTGCTTCCTGGGCTCAAGAGGCTTTAGGAGAGTGACTCAATGGTGTCTCTGCCTCAGGGGACAGCGTGGGAGGCTGGGGCACAGAGAGGAGTCTGCTGGCTGAGACAGCCCACGGCGGAATAGAGGGTTGTGCAAGAGACTCAGCTGCGTGCACAGAAAGCCGGTCAGAGGTCAAAGGTATGTGGTACCTGCAGACCAGGTGGGGCAGCGGCACTATATAAAAGGAACACTGCCCAGTGGGCCTCTTCTGAGAGTGAGGGGCCTCCGCTGCCAGTGGGTGGCTGGTCTGAGACCACCCAGAGAGCTGGTATGTTCTGCAGACGTCATCAGCATCCACCTTTGAAGATGCTTTGCCATGGTACCGTGTATTGCATAAGTATGCACTGACACAGTAAGAACAGAGTACTTACTATGTACAGAGTACAGAGGTACAGGGTACAGAGGCAGAGAACTCGCCAGCACAGGATAGTGTGCTTTTTTCCTAGAAGCTCTTTTATTTGTGGACCGAATACATTAGAACAACCCCTTCCGAAAAGCACCCAGCTTTTCAGTGCCCATCTCTACCCCGCCTCCTTGTGCATTAGTGCCACAATTATGCCCTGATCAACTGAGCGAATCCATTATGCAGCGTCTAGCCACTCTCCTCGTGGCCTCGGCACTGCAGACGCCAAGCCCTGGGAGCTGTGTAGCAGGCCTTTGAAGAATGAGCTGTGTAAATCCTCCTTTGCTGCTGACTGTGTCTGAGAGGAACTCCTGAGCAGCCTCGCAGCCCTGAATGGACTTGATAAAAGTGCCCAGCTAAGTTCTTCTGTCTGGCAGAGTCTTTCTAATAACTCACTTTGGAGTCTGACACAAGGCTGAGGACTGGTGTGAAAGACATGAGTGGTAAATGGACATTACCAGTCGGCCGGTGAAAATCTGTCAGTGTAACCCCTCAATGTCGAGATAAGGGGTCACCGCATGGATCCTTGCTTGTCTGTCTTTTGTTCTGTCACGGCCTTACTATCACAGGGGTGGGGGGCGGGGCGACCCTGGCACTGACTGCGCAAACTCTGCGGTGGCTGCCCCCCCCTTTCTGGCTGGAATATCCAACAAAAGCCAGAGAAACAGGTACCACAAGGGAGAGCTTGACAGCAGCAAACGCTGGAAGTCCTGCCAGTGAAAAGTTCCACGTGGACTGGCTGGGACTCTTGCCTCTATCAGGCCACCAGACATGTACTTGGATTTGAGGGAGAGTCAACTGGTTTCATTTCAAGTTATTAGTAGTACTGCCACTGCTAATAATGGCTAACACTGAATGGGCACTGTCTCCTGGCAGGTTACAAACAGCACCAGACAGGGCACTCCCAGAGGGCAGGGGCCAGGTCTACTCTGCATCCCTGGCTCTAAGTATCACGCCTTGCATACGGTAGGTCCTCAATATCTGCTGAATGAATCATCTCATTTAGTTTTCACAATAACTCCATAAGGTTGGATACAATATTGCCATCACCATTGTACAGATGAGAAAACTGAGGCTCAGGGGTCACTAAAATGTGTCCAAGGTCTCTCAGCCAGCGAGTATCAGAGCTTACAGGCAAACCCACATGCACAAGACATCTGAATCTACGGTTCCATCAAAATATCATTTCACCAGCAGAGCCCAGACCACTGGGCTTTTCCAATACTATGACCACCTGTGAAGGGTGGATCCAAAAGAACGCATGTTGCCCTGACTGGTGGGGGTCAGTGGATTGAGTGCCGGCCTGTGAACCAAACAGTCGCAAGTTCGATTCCCTGTCAGGGTAACATGCCTAGGTTGTGGGCCAGGTCCCCAGGAGGGGGTGTACGAGAGAAAACCACACATTGATGTTTCTCTCCCTCCCTTCCCCTCTGAAAATAAATAAGTAAAATCTTAAAAAAAAATAAAATAAAGAATGATGTCAAACCTGTGTAGATATTACTCTATTCCAGCCATTATCTTTTAGATTTTTTCAATATTCTGCAACAACTACATCGAGAAGAAATGACTTACCTACAAATCCTTCTTCGCCCACCAGTTTCAGGGCAATTTTATCGGCCAACACGGAAGAGTTGCCATGGGCGATGTTGGCAAAGGGGCCAGCGTGTACGAACACAGGCGTCCCCTGTGGAGGGAGAACAAAAAAATTAGAACCCCCAAAGACAAGTGGAGCTCAGTTAGGGGCAAACGAGGTGGGCCAGACTGCTGGGTATTCACAAGACTCACCTGAGCCATCCCGCTTTTATTAATGCTGCAAACTTAATGTACGGATTCTCTTGAAGAAAGTTACAACACCCTCTTTCAAAGGCCCATGTTCCTTATGTATCCTAGACCAGTGTTATTCTACATTTATTGCTAAACCAAGGAGAAAAAGCACTAAGAATCAGCTGTTTCCCGTGGGAATTTTGACAGGCCACCGTGTTCGCTGCCTCACCGACCACGGTATAAATCCCTGACTGTAGTTCACGTTACTTCACATTGTATTTTTAACAAATGGAATTAGACACTGACGGTCTCAGAGGGTTATTTATTTATTTTTCTCATTAATAAATTAGTTCAAGAAAAATTTAAACTAAGCGTAAAAATCAATTCAGTTCACAGCAGACCAACTACATAGAGATATTGTATTTGCAATAATAAGTAAGCATAAAGTTTTAATATTCACAGTAATAAGCTCACTATTTTGATTTTTAAAAATTTTGTTTTAAGTATTTCTCATTGCTTGTCTTCACATGTTAAGATTCTGATAGCCATTACATTTTAATTCTTTGAATAGAACTCTGTCTATACATTTATTTTTAATGTTACGTCTATACTTTCCCTTTCTCAATGAGAACAGACTGCAGCCCTGTCTAAAAGAACTTACCCACATGCATGAAAGTGTTCAGGTTTTATTTAGAGCCCAGCCAAGGCCCCGGGGTCTGTGTACACGAAGCCTCAGCCCCACCTGTGAAAACACAGGCTGCCCTTCACTGACACGGGGTGGGGGGGGACAGGGGTAACGTGCGGGAGGTGGGGGCTGCAAGCCATGGACGATTCCCACAGACCCCGATGGGCTGCGGGCTGAACACGCTTCAAAGCTGAGAAAGCAGAACAAAAGCAGGAAGTAAAAGGAAAATCATCTCTCAGAACGAAAAAGACAGAGTTTATCAAAGCCACTCTGTGTGTTCTCTACTGACTTTTCCTCCCCAAGTCCTCGGGAGGGGCGGTAACAGGGTCCTGAGAAGGTCACATAAATGTATGTGGAAATAAAACTGGGACTATGAAATCCAAACACGTATGTTTATGGATATGTATACCTGTATGTTTAGTGTCTGGGTCCACCTGTCTACGTATGTCTGATTTCTCACTTAAAAAAATATATTTTATTTATTTATTTTTAGAGAGAGGGGATGAGAAGGAGAAAGAGTAGAAGAGAAACACCAATGTGTGGTTGCCTCTCATGTATCACCTACTGGGGACCTGGCCTGCAACCCAGGCATGTGCTCTGACTGGGAATCAAACCAGCGACCCTTTGTTCCACAGGCCTGTGCTCAATCCACTGAGCTACACCAGCCAGGGCTGATTTCTTACTTCTATTCAGATAAACCTTTCAAATACTCTCAAGAAAACATTTAAAAGACAAAGTCTGTACCACCTAAGCTTACCAGTCCCAGCACGAGGTCGCCCGAGTAAGCTCGCAAAGGTGGGAAACGTTTAAGTGAGGACAAGGTCACAGGCTCTGTCCCTGGGCAGGCAGCTGCCTCCACTCCTCTACACACTGCAACCTTGACCGTGGCCATCTGTCTGAAAAGCAGCGGGCACTGGTCTCCAGGGTGGACAGGTGACAGGGTGTGGCTGGATCAGCATAAACACATTGCTATTCCTGATATAACCACTCTAAGGACTGGGTCAGCAGCATTTTAATTTTCATCTAAAATTAAAGGCCACAGGGTGTGTTAATCACTAAGGCAGTATTAGAGCCCTGGTTTTGGAACTCCCAGTACAGAGTCGGAATGTAAAAATGTGTACGGATCTTTGTAGACATTCAGACACATACCCTCACACAACTGGGGTCTGTAGCGATGACACAGTGCGAAGTTAAATGCTTTGTCTAAAAAATCCCATGACTAATTCAAAGATATAAAGCTATCTTCTGAGTTTAGTATTTTACTTTATATGCAGAACACTTAGGAAAGTAATGCAAGAACTATCTTGGTTTCTCACGATGACAAACCTATAGATATTCTCCATGATGGACAAACATTTCATAAGATTAACATCACCTATTTGCTTCTCAAAGGCCTAAAAGAGCTTTGTCCAAAAAGAACTTTCTGCAGCGCTGAGAACATTCTCTGTGTGCACCATCCGATACAGTAGCCACTGTCCACATGAGGCTACTGAAAATGTAGCTAGTATGAATGTAGGCCTAAATTGCACATTATTTAATTTAAACTAATTTGTTCTGAAGTAACCAAGTGTGACTAGTGGCTACCCTACAGGACAGCAAAACCAGCACATGAGTATTTCCTAACCCATGGTATAATGTTAGGAATATTTCTTTCTTTTTTTAAAAAGATTTTACTTATTTTTAGGGAGAGGGGAAGGAAGGGAGAAAGAGAGGGAGAGATATCAATGTGAGAGAGTAACATCGATCGGTTGCCTCTAACATGCGCCTGACTGGGGACTGAACCGGTAACCCACCCGCATGTGCTGACCGGGAATCTAACTGGCGTCACTTTGCTTTGGGGGACGACACACAACCAACCGAGCCACACAGGTCAGCGTTCTCTCTCTTCTTAAGTCTTCCACAGGGAAATGCGCAACCTGGCTGTACATGAGAATCCCCGGGACCCAGGCATCACGCCCCATTCATTCTAGCCCACTTGCTCTGGGATGGAACCTGGCACTGCACCTTTGAGTCTTTCTAGGTGACAGGAGTGTGCGTCCAGGGTTGAGAAGTCCTGGTGAGAAGAACTTGCAGCACAGTGACCCGTGATGACCTCCTGTGGACCTAACAGTCAAGTGACTTCAAATGACAGTGCGAAAGCAGAGTCTGTACACTCGTCGCTGATTTTTAGATTGTTTACTAATGTAGATTCCTAGTGCCATGGATGAGCCAGGTTCATCTACAGTGAAAGTGCAGGGGCCCAGCTGGCAGAGTTCACGCACAGTTATGCTAACTGGATGCTGTGCTTGTTTTGTAAACAATGCCCATTGTCTGTTCGAGAACGGAAAACAGGTGCATATGAGCTCATGAGAACGGCTTGGGAGAGCCCAGCCCGCCAGTCCCTTCACTAAAGGGATTTGGCTTTTCGAATGGAATATATGTTGAAAGTGCAAGTACTTTTTTAAATATCATGTCTCTTTACATATATCTTTCCCATTCATTCTGTTACTAATTTAACAAGTATGTAGTCTTAAGAGCCATGTTTGTGAAAATGTTAAGTAGTCACTTAATTATTCCACGAGTGTTTACTGAGCACCTGATCATGTGAGGCACTTTCAGGAGCTCAGGGTACGAGGCGACTGGATGGAAAGGGTCTTGCCCTCATCCGGGTGGGAGGAGAAATTCAGTGAGCAGACCAGGCCCCGGGAGCTCTCGGAAAACATCCGTGTCATCCATACAGGGAATGACCAGACTGTGACGGGGCAGAGTCACAGTCCCTGTCTGTGACTGAGGCTGCACTGGACCAAGTGGCTCACAGACCTCTCTGGGGGGCTGACACTGAAATGACATGAGACCTGAGAGAAGGGAAGGAGCCATGAAGAGCAGGAGGAGCATCTGGGCTGGCGGTGTCTGCGTGGAGCCGGCCTGGGCTGGGAGGGAGAGGGAATGAGGGAAGAGACGGGGATAGGTGAGGGTGGGGGCCAGATCCTTCGGGAGGCCAGGAGTGATCATGGGCAGCGCCCAGGAACTCTAAGCAGGAGGGCTGCAGGAACTGGATTAGGCTTCAGAGCTGTTGAGTGGGGAAAGGTGTAGAAAGAAAGCATGGAAAAAGCGAGGCCAGTTGGGAGGCTGCGGTAGTGGGGTAGGTGGGCACGCGGGTGGTGGAGGCAGGCTGGGGAGGGGACAGGGGCCTCCAGGATGACCTCTAAGTTTTTGGCTTGGAACACTCACTAACTGGGTTTGGAGGAAGGAGCAAGTTGGGAGGAAGGAGGAGGAGGTTGGGGATCAAAGATCTTACTTAATAAGTTCGAAATGCCTTTTACCCACCCAAGTGGCTCTTGGTAACTCTACCTACAAGTGTGAAATTCTGAGGTTGGGAAAGTCAGAACCAGAGCTCGGGGGTCACCACATGGCTGATAGTGGGGGAGAGCACAGCTGGAGAAGCGAGGTCTCCGGCCCTCCAACATTTAGGGGCTGAGCCAAGAAACCAGTGAAGAAGCCAGAGATGGAGGAAAGGCCACCAAGCAGGTCCCGGAGACTGAGATGTCACAGAATCTGGAAGAAGTGACCCAGAAGGAAGGACCATCAGCTGGATCAGACCCCATTGAGGTCACGTAGGCAAGGACAGAGAAACAAAGATCTAGTCACAGAGAGTGACAGATGACCCTGGTAGGAGTGGACCCTGAGGTCAGGCTGTAGTTACTGAGGAGAGAGGGGAGGTGAGAATGTGTGGACCCCAGTTAGAGACAATGACATCCGACTGGGAGGGGAGCAGAGACATGTGGCCAGAGCTGGATGGGGCCCCGGGGCCCCAGGAGGGTTTGGAAGTGTTTGTTTCAAGATAGCTCACGTCAGAGCCTGTTTGCCCTGATGGCCAGATCAGGAGAGGAAGTTCAGCTGCAGGAGTGACAGGCCTCAGTAGTACTTCAGCCCTGCCCTCCCCGGCTCAGGGGATGGCCTCCTGTCACACCTGCAGGGGACCTTCTAGTCCTCTCTGGTCCACACTTCCATCGTATTGTCTTGTACCAAGATTCTTGCTCACTGCCAGTGCCTTCTAATTGCAAACACGTCCCTGCTGAAGGCCTTTGCACTAACGTTACTCTTCCCCCAGATACATGCTTGGTTTCTTCCCGTCTCGGTTCAGATGTCACTCTCTGTCCCCTCATTCCCTCTTATTTTCCTTCTCCAATCCTTGCCACCAGTTGACAGGCTACGTGTTGACTTCCTTCTCTACTGTCTGGCTCCCCCTTGACAGTGCCGGCTCCCAGAGGGCAGGGGCGCTGGTGCTCACTGCCCTGCCCAAGCACCTGCAAGGCCTGTTATGTGTTCGGAAAACACTGAGTCTCTGTAATGACCTCGATAGGTCAGGGAGTCACTGTGACTCTCACCACGTAACATGGGAGAAAAGGCAGAAGGAGATTATTAAAGCACTGAACAGTTAGTAAATGGAAGAGTGAAGGCTCAAGCTCAGCTTTGTATCAGCTGAATAAATGAATCATTGGATGGATATTCCATTTGTGTTTCTGCTATGTATTCCCCTAACGTGCTTGCCCTCTGCCCTTCTCCTTGTCCCATTACGGCTCGAGGACTAACAGACCCCTGCACCACTGATGGTGTACGCATTTCCTCCCAACTCCACTGTTCAGCGGTGTCAGGAAGGGAGCCAGAAACTGGTCACGGTGGGAACATTTACACCACAGAAATTGGCAAGTGCTACAAGTCAGGGATTTTCACCCAGGGAGCTGACTGTTAAAACACTTACTGGTCCATCAGTGCCTCTCCTGACCCCACTCCCTCCTTCCCACTCGTCTCTGTCAACTTGACCCAGATACCGCACCCCCCAGGTCTGCAGCTGGGCTCTCATTAGCTAGGAGGGGGGAAGTAGACAATTAATATGTCAAACGAGCAAGATGAGTGACTAAAAACCTGGATGAAAAAAAGAGGTAGTTTGTTTGATAAGGAAACTTAAGTTCAAGGAAGACAAGACACATATTTTTATAAAAGCAGGGCATAGCATACTCTCTTAGAAAACACTTCTCAGCATTTACTATGTGTTGTGTGGGAAAAACAAAAATAAGAACACTCAAAACCTAATTATTATGAGACACTAAGTAAAGAAAAGGCAAGAGAAAATACGTAAATGTGGCCACACCGCTTACTGGGATATCAGACAAACCTTGAATTCTAAGTTCCTGCTCTGGTCAATTTGGACTTCATTAGCCAAGATACAAATTATATTAAAGAACTGTAAACACACTTTTAGCTTTTTCTGGAAGGCCAAAGAATTACTCCGATGTTCCCAGTGGGCTCACATTGGCCAGACATGTCCACGTTGCAGGGGGACGTACAGGCAATGCAATGAATGCAAACTGTCAACAATTTCTATTAAAAAAATCACTTACTTCCAGGGTCTGCATCAGATTTGGTTTTATTGCATCTTTCATCAAAACTGTCAAAGCACCTGTCACCCCCTAAAGGAGAGAAAAAAGAAACCCACATCAATTACTAGCAACATTTTTAAAGAACTGTAATAAATAATCCTAAAATTTATATGGAACCACAAAGGCCTGAGTAAAAAAAAAAAAAAAAAACAAAGCTGGCGGTTTTGTGCTCCCTGATTTCAAACTATACTACTAAGCTATGGTAATCAAAACAGCATGGTACTGGCACAAAAACAGACACAAAGAACAGAGCCTAGACATAAACACACGCTTATATGGTCAATTATTACATGAAAAAGGAGGCAAGAACATACAATGGAGTAAAGACGGTCCATTCAATAAAAGGGAAAATTGGACAGATCCATGGAAAAAATGAAACCAGACCACTTTCTTACACCATATGAAAAATAACTCAAAATGGATTAAAGACTTAAATGTAAAGCCTGAAATTATAAAGCTCCTAGAAGAACAAATAAGCAGTAAATTCTATGACATAACTCTTAAAATATTTTTTTTGGATGTTTCCTCAGGCAAGGGCAACAACAACAAAAAATGGTACTACATCCAAAAAAAAAAGCTTCTGGTAGAAACCATCAACAAAACAAAAAGGCAATCTGCTGAACGAGAGAAGATATATTTGCAAATGATATATTCAAAATATGTAAAAAAGCCACACAGCTCGACATCAAAAAATAATCCAATTAGGACTTCCGCCAAGATGGAGGTTTAGGTGGATGTGCCGTGCCTCCTCACACAACCAAGTTTAGGGACAACTAAATATTAGCATCAGAAAACACAACCAGAACACGGAAAACTGAACTTTTCGGAAGTCCGCTAACAACAAATTCTTCAGGCCGACCGGTAAGGGGCGAAACCGGCGTCGGGTGAGGAGTTACAAAGGAGGGCTCGGTCGGACCGGGAGCGGAATCCAGACGCGCGAATCCAGTCGCACGGGTTCCAAACCCAGGATTGGACCTAGTGAGCGACCGAGCAACCCACCGGGTGAGCGACTGCAGAGGAGACAGTGGGGAGGCGGTGCAGCGTGTTGACTGTGGTTGCCTAATTGCGCGCGAGTGAGGGAGTGAGCGGTTGGACCGGCGGCGGCGGCGGCGATAGACAGCAGCTGCAGCGGCAATAGAGGGCGCCGCCATTTCCCCGCTCTGACCACGCCCCCACATACAGCGTCACAACCCAGCGACCTGGGACTCCAAGGCGCCGCTTCTCCCACTTAAAGGGCCAGAACAGACCAAAAATGTCGCAGGGAGAAATCAAAGCCCCAGAGATAAATCTAAGTGACGAAGAAATAGCAAAACTCTCAGACGCACAGTTTAAAACACTGGTCATCAGCTTCCTCACAGATCTGGTGGATTATAGCCACAAATTAGAGAAACATATGAAGGCTAAATTAAGGGAAATGAATGGAATTCCACAGGAAACCCATAGAGATGAAAAGGAAAATGGGACTCAAATCAATGGAGTGGACCAGAAGAAACCAAATAAGGGCCAAACAGAAAAGAGTCAAGGAGCAAGAATTCAAAGAAATGAGGAGAGTCTTAGGAACCTCCAGGACATCTTTAAACGCTCCAATATCCAAATTATAGGGGTACCAGAAGGGGGAAAGACACAACCACCAGTGGAAAAACTATTTGAACAAATAATAAAAGAAAATTTCCCCAATCTGGCAAAGGAAATAGACTTCCAAGAAATCCAAGAAGCCTAGAGAGTACAAAAAAAGTTGGACTCAAGAAGAAACACACCAAGGCACATCATAATTACATTAGCCAAAATTAAAATGAAGGAGAGAATCCTGGAAGCAGCAAGAGCTAAGGGGACAATCACCTACAAAGGAGTCCCCATCAGGCTGTCAGCAGATTTCTCAAAAGAGACCTTACAGGCAAGAAGGGTCTGGAAAGAAATATTCCAAGTCATGAAATCTAAAGACCTACAACCAAGATTGCTCTACCCAGCAAAACTTTCATTTAGAACGGAAGGACAGATAAGGTGCTTCTCAGATAAGACCAGATTCAAGGAGTTCATCATCACCAAGCCCTTATTATATGAAATGTTAAAGGGACTTATCGAAGAAAAAGAAGTTAAAGAAACATGAACAGTGAAAGGACAACAAACTCACAGTTATTAACAACCACACCTAAAACGAAAGCAAACTAAAAGGACAGCTAGATCAGGAGAGGAAACATAGAAATGAAGATCTCAAGGAGGTTTAGCAACAGGGGAGTGGGAGGAGGAGATGGGGGGAGAAGGTACAGAAAACAAGTAGCATAGACAGTAGATAGAAAATAGATGGGGGGGGCAAGAATAGTATGGGAAATATAGAACCTAAAGGACTTGAGACACATGGACATAAACTAAAGGGGGGTAATGGAGGGGTTGGGGGGGCAGGGTGGAGGGGAATGAAGGGGGGAATAGAACAACTGTAACAGCATAATCAATTCAAAAAAATAAATAAATTAAAAAAAATAATCCAATTAAAAAATGAGCAGAGGGAACTTCCGCCAAGATGGAGGCATAGGTGGATAAGCCGTGCCTTCTCACACAACCAAGTTTAGAGACAACTAAATATTAGCAACAGAAAACACAGCCAGAACACAGAAAATTGAACTTTCCAGAAGTCTGTTAACAACAAATTCTTCAGCCTGACCAGTAAGGGGAGAAACCAGCAGCTGCTGGAGTGGGGTTGCACAGGAAAACTCGGTCAGATGGACTCAGGCGCACGGAATCCAGGCGCAGGGTTGGACCTAGTGAGCGACCTAGTGAGTGACCGCGGGGGAAACAGCGAGGGAGCAGGACTTCGGGTTGACTGTGGTCATGCATTGGTGCGCGGATAGACAAGCGAGGGAGTGGGCAATTGGACCGGGACCCAGCCGTCCCTGCGGCAAACTGCAGGGAAGGTGCCGCCATTTCCCTGCTCTGACCCCACCTCCACATACAGCGTCATAACCCAGCGACTCTGAGTGGCCCCGCCCAGGTGAACCACCTAAGGCTTTGCTCCTCACCCAGCTGTGAGAAACAGCAGAGGGGGTCGCCATTTCCCCGCTCTGACCACGCCCCCACATACAGCGTCACAACCCAGCGACCTGGGAGTACAAGGCGCCGCTCCTCACACTTAAAGGGCGCGAACAGACCAAAAATGGCGCAAGAAGAGCTCAAAGCCCCAGAGCCTATAAATCTAACCGATGAAGAAATAGCAAAACTCTCAGATGCACAGTTTAAAACACTGGTGATCAGGATCCTCACAGAACTGGTTGATTATAGCCACAAATTAGAGAAACATATGAAGGCGAAACTAATTGAAATGAATGGAATTGCACAGGACACCAATAGCGATGAAAAGGAAACTGGGACTCAAATCAATGGAGTGGACCAGAAGAAAGCAAATAATGGCCAAACAGAAAAGAGTCAAGAAGCAAGAATTCAAAGAAATGAGGAGAGTCTTAGGAACCTCCAGGACATCTTTAAACGCTCCAACATCCGAATTATAGGGGTACCAGAAGGGGGAAAGGCACAGCCACCAGTGGAAAACTTACTTGAACAAATAATAAAGGAGAATTTCCCCAATCTGGCAAAGGAAATAGACTTCCGGGAAATCCAGGAAGCTCAGAGAGTCCCAAAGAAGTTGGACCCAAGAAGAAACACACCAAGGCACATCATCATTACATTAGTCAAGATTAAAATGAAGGAGAGAATCCTAGAAGCAGCAAGAGCTAAGGGGACAGTCACCTACAAAGGAGTCCCCATCAGACTGTCAGCAGATTTCTCAAAAGAGACCTTACAGGCAAGAAGGGGCTGGAAAGAGGTATTCCAAGTCATGAAATCCAAAGACCTACAACCAAGATTGCTCTATCCAGCAAAACTTTCATTTAGAATGGAAGGACAGATAAAGTGCTTCTCAGATAAGATCAAATTCCAGGAGTTCATCATCACCAAGCCCTTATTATATGAAATGTTAAAGGGACTTATCGAAGAAAAAGAAGTTAAAGAAACATGAACAGTGAAAGGACAACAAACTCACAGTTATTAACAACCACACCCAAAACAAAAGCAAACTAAAAGGACAGCTAGATCAGGAGTGGAAACAAAGAAATGAAGATCTCAAGGAGGGTTAGCAACAGGGGAGTGGGAGGAGGAGAAGGGGGGAGAAGGTACAGAAAATAAGTAGCATAGACAGTAGATAGAAAATAGAAGGGGGGGCAAGAATAGCATGGGAAATATAGAATCTAAAGAACTTGAGACACATGGACATAAACTAAAGGGGGGGTAAGGGTGGGGACGGGGGGTAGGGTGGAGGGGAGTGAGGGGGGGGAATAGAACAACTGTAACAGTATAATCAATAAAAAAAATTAAAAAATAAAAAGTAAAAACAAAACACAAAAAAATGAGCAGAGGACCTGAACAGACTTTTCTCAAAGGAAGACACGGGATGACCAACAGACACATGAAAAAATGCCCAGTGTCACTGAACACCAGGGAAACGCCAATCAAACCCACAGGGTATTACCTTGCACCTGTCGGAACAGCTATTATCAAAAGGAAACAAATAACAAACTCGGGGAGGATGCGGAGTAAGGAGAATGCTGGTGCACTGTTGCTGGGAATGCAAATTGGTGCAGCCACTGTGGAGAACAGTATGGAGATTGCTCAAAACCCTAAAAACAGAGCTACCATGTTACCCAGGATTCCACTCTTGGGCATTTATCAAAAAGGAAAAAATAATTCAAAAAGATACATGCATCCCTATGTTTACTGCAGCATTACCAGTAATAGCTGAGATATGGAAGCAACTGGGCGTCCATCATAGATGAACAGATAGAGAAAATACACAATGGAATGTTAGCCGTCAAAAAGAATGAAATCTTGCCATTTGCAACAAGATGGAAAGACCTATCCTGGTAAGTAAAATCAGTCAGACAGAAAAAGGAAAATACCAATGATTTCCCTGACATGTGGAGTCTAAAAAACTAAGCAAATAAATGAAAACAGAAACGAACTCATAGATACAGTGAACAGACTGAAGGTTGCCAGGCTGGAGGGCGTGGAGGGTGTGGTGAAAAAAGGAAGGAGATTAAAAAGCACAAGCTTCCGGTTATGAGAAGACACTACAGAGGTGTAAGGCCCAGCACAAGGAGCAGAGTCAACAGTATGACAACTACGTGTAGTGAAGGACGGTTACTAGACTTATCGCGGTGATCACAAGGTATATAAATGTTGAATCGCTACGTTGTACACCTGAAACTAAAGTAACTGTAGGTCAACTATAATGACAAAATAAGCTAAATAAATGTTTTCTCCCATTAAGGAAAAAGCAACACTGATTATTGACAAAAGTTGGTCCCGCCTGACGGCCTGTCCCCTGGGTGGGCATCCTCACAGGCTGCTGTCACCCCCGGGCTATGTGTGACACAGCACAGCACCCTTGGTCCATCCACCTCGCCCCCTGGATGCATGTCAGCCACGCAGGACCTAATGAGTGACAGGGAAGTGACAGTCATTGCAGTTTTCCCAAAACCTTCCCTGAGGGTGTTTAAGAGGTCTGCCAGAAAGCGGGCCTTGCGGGCCGCCTGGAGGTGTTTTCAGGCAAATCTGCTCATTATGTTTTCATCAGCAGAGATTTCATTATTGCCCAAAGGAAGACATGAAGGACTGGAACGGGGCTATTCACAGAGCGGGTGGGGGCGCCGTGTCAAAGCACCCACTTCTGTTTCCCACGGCCTCTCCACGTCTCACCCCAGACAGAGAAGGCAGTCCCAACACTGACACCTTTGAAAGGCTTCTTCTTTTCCGTGTCTCACACCCTCTGTCTGCCTAGAGTGAGGCTGCCTCCTCCCAGTCCTAAGAATTTCAGGGCAGGGCCCCTGCTGAGTCCCCCTTCCTGGCAGAGAGGAGAGACAACAGAAATGAAGTCTCAGCACTACTGGAAAGGGTCGGTCACACCCTGGCTGGTGTGGCTCAGTGGATTGAGGGCTGGCCTGAGAACCAAATGGTCGCTGGTTCAATTCCCAGTTAGGGCACATGCCTGGGTTGCAGGGCAGGTCTGAAGTTGGGTACATGTGAGAGGCAACCACACACTGATGTTTCTCTCCCACTCTCTCTTCCTCTTTTTCTCAGAAAATAAATAAATAAATAAATAAATAAATAATCTTTTTAAAAAAGTTGGTCAAATAAGGCCACATGGCACACTTTAAATAAAAATCCCTTCCACCTTTTCTAAAGACAATGGCCAAGTATCTTTCTCTCCCTCCCCACCCACAGTTTGCATTAGCATTAACTTGGGCTGTTGTGCACTCTATGGACTTGAGGGCAACTGTCTTTTAACCAACCAGTCAGTTATGGGAAGGCTATCCTATGAGCAAACGCATGTGGTTGCAGCTGTGAGAACATTAAGTGGCGTGGGCAGCTCTGAACAGGTCAGCGAGGAGAATCTAGACTCTTCCTCCTTCTCTGCAAAGGGCATGAGTTTATTACTCTCTCCTTCTATCACCAATCGGGTACATTTCTTTTAGGTGATCAACTGCTATTTTTCCAATATTTCACCATTTAAGACTTATGTAAGGAAATCCAATTTATTTCTCACTTGATTTTACAAAATATACACTGTAAGAAATTATAAATACATTAAGATATTTTCCTTTTAAAGTTGCCAGCAAGGATTGGTGCAAATAAATCAATTCTCTGTTCCTAACACAGAGCAGGTGTTAGAAGGTAGAAGAAAAACAGTAGTTTGCTTGCTTTTCTGCACACAATCTTTGCTTGTAATTCTTGGTCAAATACACCTTGCTCAAGAAACTAAAAGAGGAAGGGAACTGGGCATTTCTGCTGGACTGTCTCAGGTGGGTTAGCACCTGCTTGGCTTTCCATGCCCCATCTCATCTTCTGCTGCTCCTTACACTCTGATTGTTACTAAACCCATGCAAAGAACTTCCCCTCCAAGGACAGCTGGGGCCACCGTGCCCACTGTAAGCTGGGTCACCTTTTCCATGTCCTGAGGCCATGGAGCGGGGAGCTTGAACATATTCTTCTGGGGGATATCAGAATCAATTATCTTCTAGGAAAGTTTAGAGGCCATCTATTCCAATTTTCACTGCAATACATAAATCCTTTTGACCAAGTTGAAAACAAGCCACAAGGTAGTAAAATGATAGTATAGAAGCTCGAGAGTCCTCCCTTAATTTCCTATGGTGGACCAACTGCGGAGAGTTCCAACTCAGTGCAATGCAATCTGCAGAGATTAAGTACTTTTGCAAAGAAGAAACACAAAAGATAACAGAAAAAGGCAAACTCAGTACATGTCGGATCCAAGATTTTTATAACACAGAAAAAAGTAGGTTTAGGGAAATAATATTTAAGGATTAAGTTTCAACTGACCCCCCGCAGTATATTTATTAGTACTTAAAGTTAATCCAATACAAAGAAATATATTTATATAGGAACTATAATATGTCAGTTTTGAGAGGAATGTAAAGAAATGTAAGGGCCTGGGCAATTTTTGAAAAGCGGTACTGTTATACCAAGCTGAATATGGGCTTCTCTTTAAGCTTAGTATGAAGCATTCCATAAAGCTGCTGATATGAACATATTTATTTAATTTACTTGACAAAGACCTATGAGATGAGTCAGTGAGATACATTTCTTCTGAAGCAGCCAAAAAGTAATCAAGACATGTTGGCAAAGGATTCATATTATGTTCTAAGCTTTTGGAATCAATAAAATATTAATCTTGCCTTTCCCCTTGCACAACTGTTTTTCAATTGGCAGCGCATGTATTAGATTCCATTACTGCCTGGGACCCACCGTGTGGGAAGTAAGCTTCCACTTACAGTAATGGCTGTTCACACACACAAAGGCCTATGTGCGTCCTTATAAACATGTGCACACAAATGAAATAACTACTTCACTGTTGGGGCTTAAAGTAACATTATAGATGGTTATCAGAAGAGATTAGCGTGCCAAATGAGAGGAGGAACTACAAAGGGCTGTGGGGTGCCAGGTTTCCGCGAGCGCTTTATGGAAAGCATCACCCCCTCAAAGTGGAGCTGGCAGAGGACCACTGAGTCCAGGGAGACCTGCTTTTACAATGGAAAACCGAAACCTAAGGCACACAATTAAAGAAGCCAGGGTACCCAGGGAACAAGCTGAAGCCCAAAATGTGCCAGGTTCACTTAATCTTCCCTTTCACAAAGGTGGGCCTGCTTCCTTCCTATCTTTAGAAAGGGGATTTACCCTCAGTTTCAAGCTGGCAGAGATCAAACTTTTTCAGAAGCCACAGACGGGCTGCAGGATGACCTCGCTCCAGGCCCAGCCGAGATCAAGACTGGAAAGAATCGGGAAAAGCTGGTGAAGTAAAGTTCACATGCTTTGGTTGCGGCCATTTACAAGCACATTATAAACGCCTGTGAGGGTAAAAGGTGTGTGCAGCACTCTCTGACTTCCCATTGCACACGCGGACAGGAGAAAGAAAACCTTCATCCTCCTGACCACAACAGCAGGGGCAGCGAGCCCTCTGGACACCCTCCAGTGGACGCGCTCACCAAATCTTCTGCCGTTACAGGATGCCCGTTTTTGTCACTGGCCACCACCATTCTCCCCAGGCGCTCCTTCATGTCCTTGAGGCTGTCGGTCAGGGCCAGCACCGCCATGATCTCGCTGGCCACCGCGATGTCAAACTGTGCCTGAAGTGGAAAGCAAAGGTACTGGTCAACGGCAGGGCCACCTGGACAGCCTTTTCCACAAGGCCACAAGGAGCTGTATCTGAGCAACTCAGTTTCGGCCGGCCGGGGGTTTCCCCTCAACCGGCCCCTCTCTGGTGCACACGTTTTCTGAGCGTCTAGAGCACGCATGGCCCTGGGCTTGGGGCTCTCTAGGGTGGTCTCCTAGGGTGGCCACTAGCTTCTTCCATTGGCTCTGCTGAGCAGGACTCGGTTTGGTTAGGCCCCTGCAACGGCTCATGGCACTGTCTGCTTCTGTAGCAGGTTCCAGACTTGTAATGAGTGAGTTGTGTGATTCCCCGTCTAATGCATGTCTCTACCACAGGACTGGCAGTGCCATCAAGGCAGGCACCCTCAGGGAGGGTTCACTCCTGCATCCCCAGCTTGCAGAACTGAACGTGAAACCCAACAAGCACTCAACACGTATCAGCTGAATAAGTGAACAGCCTGCTGACTGCACTTGTCATTGCGGGTTGCTGACTGCACCTGCCATGGTGTCAGAGGGCTGCAGCTGCCTGTCCAGGAAAGAGGTGAGGAGCAGACCATGAAGGAAGATGGTCCAGAGGCCAGCTTCCCCGAGTGAGGACGTGCTGACTTGTGTAATCCACCATGGCAACAGAGGACCCAGAATCAATTTTCAGCTGTCCATGGGGGCGTGGCCACATCAGCTCTCCAAGTGCCCAGCAATGAGTGCTGGGGAGCAACTATTGTCTGCACCTTCCTATTGCCTCTGGGGCTCTGGCTCCAGGCTGCACAGAGCAACAGGGACCGAAAGATATGCATGTGCACCCCTCCTCCTAATCCAGCCCCTGGACAAGCCACTTCACTGCACTCTGCCTGAATTCTCTTCCTCCCAAAGGGCATGAGAGCCAGATGCGTTCGAGCTTACGCAGAGAGAAAAGGGCTGCCCTAGTGGGATCACCTTATGAAACATTTTATTGCCCATTTCCGTCACTGACAAGAAAGGAAATGAAGCAACCAAGGAGCTTTCTGGCTACTTCCTGACTGAGATTTCATTCGTCATCTATTTAATGAAAAAATATTACCTGAAAGTCAAATGCGACTATATTTAATTATTACATGCTCGGTATAACCCATTCTAAACCTAAGTGATTTTTTGTTGTGTGATACTTAGGATTCTCTGTACTACCATTCCATGATAAAGAGTACATATTAAAAATGACGAAAGACATGGAGACTTTCTATACACAATATAAAACTGGAAATATTATTAAAATATTACCTGCATAAGTAATAGTTGGAATTAATAATACACATACAGGTTCTTCATTTGTAATCATTACAATTTCAAAATTGCATATCTTGAGCAATATAGAAAAGTGAAATGAACTGAATCAGTATAAATTTCATTGTTATCCATTTCAGTGAAGGATGTGGAGAGCTGCTCATTTTACTGACTGAGCGATGTGCAGGGCTCCTCATCTTTATTTTGCACATAAAATATTTTGAATCATATAAAGGTGTTGAGTGTGACTCTTCTTATTGTTCATAACAAATTTAAACAAAGGACATAAGGGCACGTTGGCAAGGACATGACCTGACACGGCTCCTCTGGAAGGTGATGTGGAAAGTACATGAACCCCTGAAACCTACACCCTCCTTGACTCTGCACCTGTGGATCCAGGAACTCGTCCTGCGACGTCATCACATGAGAACACACGTGAATACGTGCGTGTTGCCTTTGTGTGTGTCAGCATACTAAGGACAGCTGAACGCTGCAAACACCCTACGTGTCCATTAACAGGGAACAGGGAAATCCACTGTGATGTACCTACAAGATGAGATATTCTGTGGTCATTAAAAAGCCATCACACAGCTCTCCCTTTGCTGACAATAAAAAGATGTCTTCAGTAGGGTCTTATGGTTTAAAAAGAGCAGATGAAGTTTTTAAATATAATTCCCTTTTATTTAAAAACATTGTTGTACATAAAGCAAGACAGGATATAACCTTGGACAAGTTACTTAAATAATGTGATGTCTCTCCTCATTTGTAAACCAGATTTACAAATAGAATGTGCTGATAATGAGCCTACTGACACCGGGCGCATAGTAGGCATTCAAATCAGTGCCCAGTTATAGGAAAAATGCAGAGAAAATGCGAAAGGACTTCCTTACCGCTCCCGTTCTTTCCCAACCTCCTTCCCAGATGTAACTGTCAGCAGTTGCTGTACATCTTACCAGCTACCATTTCATGCATTTACATCGATGCATGAACACGGATGCCGGCTTTTTGTTAACATAAATGTGATTATACCACCTGTATTTTACTTCAGATTTTTGAAGTTTTTTTAACCTTTCCATTTCACACTGGTATGAGAGCTCTAAGTCTCCCCCATCCGTATGTACTTTATTATTTCCTGCTGCCTGTGCTGCAGAAGGAGGCACCAAAGGCACGTGACCACCCTACCAGCAGGCACTGGGATTGCTGCAAATTTTCACCATTACAAACACGCTGCAACTAATATCCTTACACAGTTTTTCCCTTCCCATATGCAAATATTCCTCACTTCCTCCTTTTTCTTCAACATTTGTAGACCTGGAGTTGAAACCGTTGGGTCATTTGAACATTTAATACTAACAAGCTGCCATTCAGGAGGCTCTGCCATAATTTGCATACCCGCTGGCTCCGTACAAAAGTCTCCATTTATATGCATCCTCACTCACGTTTAATAGTAAATGCTTTGATCAGTCCATAGGTAAATGCTACTTCACTGTTTTTTAATCAGCAGCTTTATGATTATGTATTGGCATTTAACTTGCCTTTGTAAATTGCCCTTTACTTATTCTGTTCGTGTAGTTAACAGATATTTATCAAATATCTATTATTACCACATAACCAAGTTCTACATGCTGAGAACACAGCAGTGGACAAGAGACAACAGGCCCTGCCCTTATGAGACTCACATTTTAGTAAGGGGAGGCGGCAAATAAGCAGGATAAGTAAGGGTAGCAGGGAAAAGAAAAATGGAGTTTGGCGACAGGCAGCTACAGGCACTTTCCCAGGGATGACGCTCCATCAAGTGAGCCACCGAGCTGGGGCCAGGCACCTCCAGTTTTAAAGAGGGTGACAGGAAAGGCCTCAATGAGGGCAAGACTTGAGCATCAATTTGTGGAAGTCCTTTTAATGTCTGGCACATCAATCCTTTGTTTTATATGTATTGCAAGTATTCTCTCCCAGGTTGCCAGTGGTCTTTTAATGTTTTTGCAGGTCCTTTTCTTCATACTCAAGATTCTCATTTTCTAATGTTAGAATTCTCTCTTCTTTACACTAAAGTAAAAGTGATTCTTAGTCACTAAGAAAACTTAACAGTGTAAAGGCCATAAATCTGAAACTGTCTTAAAATGTACAGTGCATCACAGAGAAACCGTAACTCAGAGGTCTACTGGGCCTGGCTAAAAACCCAGGGCATGAATTTATACTCCCTCAGCACCATCGCCCCACACTGGGGGCCCATCAAAGTGAAGGTGGGTGTCATCATTGACCTTCTGCTTTTTCCGGATTTGGATAATGAGGCATTAGCCTTAAAAATTCCTCAGGCTATGCAGCCACATAATGAGGTGGTTTTTCTTTAGCTTTTAGATCTGAATAATGTGTCTGAGATTTCCATTTTATGGTTGTCATGCAGACACAGTTAACAACTGGGTGGGCTGGCAAAAAAAATGTGTCAGGGTTGACAAGGGACCTGCTTGAGTGGCTCATCTCGGAAACACAACTAAAATCACACAAGAAAAGGATGGGAACATAGGACAGGGGACTCCTCGCCTCCCCATCCCTCCCAGTCCGGCTGAGGGACTGCAAATGATGCCTTGAAATGGTGGGGGTCCCCCGGGGCCACTGCAGGGACAGGAAGGAGGAGATGAGCAGAGAACCGGCTTCGGAGCTCCTGTAAACCAATGCTACTGAGAACTGAGCCGCTCCTGTGGAGAAAGACCACCTACCTGCCGGGAACAGCCCTTCTCTGTGTTTGCCTGCCCGATCGTTATTTTTCGTAGAAATCGGTCATTCGTATCCAGTACTGAAAGAGAAGAGAACACAGGGCTCCATCGGTGAGCACGGACTGGCTGCCTGGTGTGCGCTGGGCACTGTTCTAGTGCTGGGAGGGCGAGCGAGACACAAGGCCTGGCTTCCCGGGTGCAGACACTCCAGGGGGCGGACACAGGCAGGGGCCGAACAAACAAGAAGAGCCACCTAGTGGTCAGTGCCTCGAGAAGATAAAGAGGTGAGGTGACCGTGCGTGCCAGGGCATTCGTGGGGATGAGGTACCATTTTTGACTAAGCAGTGAGGAAAACCATTTCTGATGTGGTGACATATTATGCTGAAACCTGAGTCACAAGGAGGCGGCAATTAAGATGCTCAAAAGGATAAATGCTGACCACCACAGGACCCAACAAGCCCACCGCTACATGTGTATTCAATAGACTAGAAGGTGGGAGCTTGAACGGATATTTGCACATCCATGTTCACAGCCACATCATTCGCAATAGCCCACAGGTGGAAACAACCAAGTATCCAACAGAGGAATGAGGAAGCAACATGTGGTAGACACACCCAATGGAATATTATACAGCCACAAAAAGGAATGGACTTTTGATTATATGCTCCGACATGGATAGATGCTGAAAACACTAGGATGATGAAATAAGCCGGTAGGAATATTACTGTATGAGCCTATGTAGAATAAGAAAATTCACAGAGACAGAAAGTAGAACAGGGGTTCCCCAGGACTGGCAGAAGGGGCGTATTGTTCAGTGGGTGCCGAGTTTTTGTTGGGGATGATGAGAAGGTCCGGGTGTAGCCAGTGGTGATGATGATGGTGCAGTCACTGTAAAGCCTGGTGGATGTATTCAGTGGTACCAACCACACACTTATGACGGTTCCAAAATCTCCACAATGTTGTTACTTTTATAATTAAAAAACAACAACAACATTTTTACAAGTTTCCAGAGATTTGAGTCTCCTGTAGTTGGGGAGACAGACACACAGAAATACTGCATCAAATTATTACCAGCACAGCACCTGTGGGTTATTTGGGGGGTGCCTTTGAGTTTAGAAAGCACCCCCGTGTTGCTGTGGGTCTGTGCAAGGGGGAGGAGGGAGTTATGACTCCATTTTACAGAGGAAACTGAGTCAGTCGTTTGTAGAAAGTTGGACAGCTCATAAAGGGTAGTGCCAAGATTCAATGTCTGTCTCTGTCTCCCCACCTCACAGTCTGTGGGAAACACTAAGTGCTTAATGAGCTATTTGAACGGATTCCCAGAAGGGAAGCTTCACAAAGGCGTGGGTCTGGGCGGTGTCTGGGATGGCCTGGGCAGGGAGCCGAGGGGGCCGCTGGGCCAGCGCAGGTGGAAGGACGTAGGCCCACTGGTCTGGGAAGAAGACGGGGATCAGACGGGGCTGCAGAGGGCCACGGTGCGGCGGTCCTTCCAGCCAAGCCACGTGATGGCAATTTTATCCCACAGGGGACAGAGGAGATTGTGTCATGCAGGACTGAGCTAGGCAGGGACAGGGCCACATCCCTACAGTATGAACCTACTGAAGTAGGGATGGAAATTTAAGCAAGAATAGCTATTAAAAGGTACCACAATACCTCAGGCATTTGATAAAAATGGAAGTGGGCAGAAATGGGAAAGAGGGTGGGCAGGGCTGAGAAGAGCGACGCAGGAGGGACCAGGAGCACGTGCCATTGAACCCTCTGTAGTGCCTCTGCCCTCAACAAGTGCTATTGCCACATTCCTGGCTGTATGTGACCATCTCCACTTCCATCTCCAAAGGACCGAGGCCCGGAACCTGCATGTGGCTGGCTCAGGGTCATGCAGGATGTTAGTGGAAGGACAGAGACACACTCGGGGCTCCTGACTCCACGTTAGTTCGTTTTCCCTCTGTCCCCTCCTGGTAGAGCGCAGTGTGGGGGGAAGGGGGAGGTGTCCCAGCTAAGAGGGAGACGGGAAGGCCAGGACCAGGACGGAGAGGATGGGGACTCCCTCTGCAGTGCATTCAGGGTGTGGAGAGTATTCTGTAACCGGCCGGAAGCATGTGCCAGACTCAGAGAAAAAAATCCAGAACTGAATATATGAATTTATGAGCTGCTTAGACTGGTGCTAAGAAAATAAGAGGAAGAAATTAGAGTGGTGGGTAGAGAGGACAAATAAGGAGAGGCACAGACTTCAAAAATATGTAGACTAAGAGGCCAGAGAAGAAAGAGATGAAGAAGGAAACTAAGCACCGTTCCTTGGACATGGGGAAGGCGTGGCAGTGGATGAGACCGAGCCTGGACGGAGCAGTTGCTTGAAGAAGGGGAGCAGCCTTCTCTCCTTAACAGGCGACGGAGACACAGACGTGGGTGACAAGGACGGGAAACAAACAAATGGGGGGGGCGCGGTATGAGACACAAGCTGGGCGGACAGACACGGGAGGAAAGGAGACCGTGACTCTGTGAAACTGTTTTCAGAGCTTCAGCTGGCCCATCGTTGCCCCCGCCCCCCATCTAGGGATCGGCACCCACCTCTCTGCCACGTGATGGTGGAGGGGTCGATGTCCAGTCGGGCGAATTTACTTATTTCCTCTTCCGTCAGTGCACCTGGATCGGTCTTGTTTATCCCCAGTTTCTAATGATCGAGAAGAAAAAGTGCGCCAAGTTTTGGAAGGAACAGAAAGCAAGATGCAACCAAAACGATCTCTCTCTGTTTTCTCTGTGACTAAGAGAGTCTTTTTAAACACTGAACTTGAACTGAGTAAACTGAGGGTTAAGTCACCTCATATAACCCAATACCTCCTAGGTGGAAAACACTGAAATTTGTAATATACCCTTAAAATGGCAGATCTGGAAATGTCACGTGGTCGGCGGCACCCAGAGCACAGGCCGCCTCTGCTGAGGGTCTCGGCCCCTCTCCGTGGTCACCGCGCGCTGTGCTCGGAAGGGACGTAAACCACCGTCTGTAAAACTGATGCCCCAGTTCCCAGTTCTTTTCCAGTACAAATACCAACAATTCCAGTAAACTTTATGTCTGTGCTTTCAAACCTAGTTACTTCTAATTCACTGAAGGAAAAAGATCCATCAAAATTGATAATGTATCTATTTCTACAAGGGAAACGTTCTGAGAAAATGGCTTTTAATGAAGAAGTGTGAAGGCAAGAGTCTGGGCCAGAAACTCTCTGTGCTGCAGCTGCAGAGAGGACCCTGAGGCGGTGGACCTTCCAGTCAAGCCCCAGGATGGTGATTTTGTCCCACACGGGATGGGGGAGGACGTGTCACACGGGACTGAGCTAGGAGGGTATGCTGTGTGTTGTTCTGACAAACCCACTCGGGTGAGTGGGTTTGTCAGAACAACATTAAAATCAATCGTTACCACATAGTGCCGATAATTTATACCATTACAGTTAGTTTTTAGTCTCTGAAAAAAAAAAAACAAGGGGAAATTTAATGAGATTAGTAAAATAAGCCACAAACAGTGCCAGAAAATAGTAATGTGGATAAGAATTATGATTGCTTAGTATCATGTGGACTGTAATTGAAAAAAAAAAAAAGAAATAAAAATAAGTACAGCAAAAAAAAAAAAGATTGCTTAGTATCTTGCTGCAACAAAAACTTAAGTAGATGAATTCTCAAAGGCTGTATCTTATTTCCTAGGAATTGGGGAAGTTTCATGAAACAGGACTCTCAGAGATTCTCGTTTGTTCGTGGACTAGGGCCTCTCGCTTTCACAGAGGAAGAAGGAAGTGAGGCCTGATCCGCCCACCCTCTCTCTGGTGTGGGATCCAGGTTGCAGGCTTCCAGTCCTACGCTCTCTCTGCTGTAACTGTTCCGTCTCTTAATCGTTTACTACTTCACAGAGTGTCTGAAAACCGAAAGCGAACCAAGTTCAAAACTTCTGGCTTTGACAATTATTCTGATTTGTTTCTAGGATATTTCCTTTTCATGGGACCACTCACTGGAGACTTACTTTCAGTCGAGCGAGTTGAATGTCTGAAAATTCTCGAACTCCATTCACTAAAGGAACCAGGCGATTATACAGGGCCTAAGAACACAAAACAAAACAAAAAAACCCATAAAAGTTTAAGGGCCAACCATGAGCCTGGACTATTCATGGGATACAACAAAGTTCATTACATTTATAAGCAAACTGTTTAGATTACAGACCTTATTAAAATTCTTGGCTAAGATAAGCAATGCAGCCTTAAGCTCTGTCATGTTCATAAATCTGACTACATCTGACATAATGCACATTGCTAAGAGTTTGCATAAATAGATATTTCTTGATCTACAGCCTTATAACTATCAAGTTAATATTTATCAGAGTTTGGCTTCAAAAACACACCAGAAAGTTACTTTAATTGGAGGTAGTTGGGACCCTTGTAAAAGTGCCAGAAACCCCCACTTTTATCCATGTCTATTCTATGAGGAATTCGCACCCAGTACCCTGCCCCTCTCAGGTGCATGGTCTGCCTCTCAGGCTGCGTGCACCTGAAGCCATCAAGGGGGCCAGGCCTCTTTAACAGTCCACCCAGGGCAGCTGCATGTAATCAGTCTTACAAAGCTCTCTCTCCAATCTCTTAGTGTAGAACAGAGATTAAGCCTATGGACACAATGAAGAGAAGTGGCCCACCAACTACCTTCAAAACTAAAGACCCATCTTAAAGACTATTTGGCTTAAAAAGTAGTATTAACACAATCCTCTCAACGAGTGGTCATGAACTCACTTGGAAATCTGACCCAAACAGGGACCCTCCCCACAGGGAATAAGGACACATACACATTCATAAAATTTTGAATAAAATTTCGGGGAGTTCACAGACTCCAGAGGTTCTCTACAGGCTCTATACGAATCCAGAAATCCTGGGACAAGCGTCCCCCAGTGGCCACCCAGAAAGCCTTCTCACCTTATCAGTCTGAGTGTTTTCATGCAAAATCCTCGTGTCGATGGCAGCCGCCAGCAAGTTGTTGGCAGCGGTGATGGCATGGATATCCCCAGTCAAGTGAAGGTTGAACTACAAACGAAACGAAAACACCTTCCTACTTGTTTTAAACAACCGCGGCAGTATTCAAGGACTTTCTGAATAAGTAAAATATTGTGCGAGTTACATAGCCTTATAATGATCTGAGCCCCTAAAACAGCCTAAACCAGCAAGTCAGTGCCAGGGTCTTCCGCTCAACAATGGAGAACTCCTGAACAGAAATCTGCTGCAAAGTTTCTTCCTGTCACAGGTGAAGGGTGAAGCATTCTGATGGACGTAGTGAAGGGTTTCCTCATTTTGTTTTCCCTATGGTATTTTCATTTTTATGCATTATTTTATGAGTTACAAAGGGCGTTGTATCAAATATACTTTGGAATGAGGCAGGGCATGAAATAGACAGTAACAACAAAATAATATAAAACACGACAAAGTCTGAGAAATAGGAAATACATCGTTCTCACAACTCGATTCTGCTATTTTTCTTCCCAGTCTTATGTGCACACATGAATATGATTTGTAAAATCAGCATACTTATAATTTGGTACCTGCTTTTTAATATAATGTATTATTATGTAATAATCTTGTCTATGTACAGTTACAATTTATAGGGACTGTGTAATTGAGCAGATGTACCAAAACTGTTCAGTCTCCCATGCCTAGTAATTTAAGTGGATCCCAAGTTTTCACTTTTGCAAATAAGTATATAATTATTAAAAAAATGCAAATTGCTTTTTGAAAAAACAATCAGTTGATAATAAGCGATCTATTTCCAGCAGTGTGGTCCTGGGGTTGAAGGATCTCAATAGTATCACCACACTGCTTCTTGAAAGGGCTGAAGGGCCACCAGATCAGTGACCTCAGCAACAAGGTGACCTTTGGGCTGAAACAGCGACTTAATTTATTTTAGAAAGTGGGGTTCTGTTGTAAGTCACATTTTCAGTTGTTGGAAGAACTAACATTTCTACTTTCCAGTTAAAGTCTTATTTTATAACAAAACTTTTGCACTTAGTGTTAATAGAACTGGCATTTTTTATATCATTAGTCTTCAAAATATAATCTGATATCCTGTTATTAAGACATTTAAGTTTTCTCCCCCCATTTCTTTAATGTTATAAACTATAAAGGTAAAAAAGGTAAATGGTTTTTGAAGTTAATTCTTTGCACATACAATTTTTCCTTAGGATAAACTAAAAATGAATTTATTTGAGCCAAAGGGTATAAATATTTTTAAGGCTATTGATACATATTTCTAACTCCCCTCCAGAGAAGTTTTACCAACACTTTCCAGCAGTGTATAAAAGTGTTCTTCACCAGCCCTGGCTGGTGTGGCTCAGTGGACTGAGGGCAGGCCTGTGAACCAAAGGGTCACTCATTCGATTCCCAGTCAGGGCATATACCTGGGTTGCGGGCCAGGTCCCCAGTGCGGGGGTGCACAAGAGGCAACCACACATTGATGTTTTTCTCCCTCTCCTCCTTCCCTTCCCCTTTGTCTAAAAATAAATAAATAAAATCTTAAAAAAGAAAGTACTTTTCAGTCTCTCTCTGCCAAAATTTGGTATTACTACTATTTTTAAAAAATCCATCGCTGTCAATGTGATAAGTAACATGATCACTGATAGTAGTTTTAATGTAGATGAATTGGATCATTAATGAAGATAAACTGCTTCTTTTCTGATGTTTTTGTTGAATCACTTGCCCCTTTTAGAACTGCGATCGATACAAGTTTTTCTTTCCGGCCATCTATCTGCTATCCACTTGGATGTCCGCAGGCCCCCACCTGGACTCCTCCTACCGCCTCAGGCCCAGCCCCACCCTCACCGTGTCCCTGGTCCTCCACTTCAGTAAATGATTCTACAGACTGTCCACCCAGTAACATGGGTATCATTCCTGCATCCTCCCCTTTTCTCACCGCCTAGGTCTCATTCTGCAAACATCAGGAAACAGGTCTTAAATCACTGTCATCCTTTTTTTTCCATCCTCACTGCCACCATCCAGGGCTAGGCCACCACCATCCTTCCTCTGGGCTACTTGCCCAGTCTCCTTGCTAGACTTCTGGGTCCACTCCAGCCCGCATCGATCTATATGCTGGTACAGAAGCCAGAGCGATTTTTAGAAAACCCTGTCCAGATCCCTTTAACGGCAGCCCACGCTATTGCCTGTCCAGGCTCTTGCCTGTGATCTTCAATAGCAGGAGAGAGCTGGCCCCCGCCTGTGCCTCTACCTCGGCTCTCTCCACGCCCCACGGGCCCACGGGCACATGCCTGTGTCCTCTTGTTTCCCGACCGGCCAGACCCTCACCTGCCTCGGAGCTTTCCATCGCCTGGACTGCTTTCCCTTATTCTACAAGACTGGCTGGCTCCTTCTCCCACTTCGAGTCTTAGTATTTTCACCCTCAATTCATCAATCCATTTGGAATTCTCTTCCAATACTTTCCCATGATCTCTTATTAAGTTCCATCCAGCACACCCTGTCTGTTCATGCACTCCACCGACAAACATCTCCTGAGTGCCAAGTCTTGTGTGCTCAGAGTTGGGGTCGAGAGCTGAAGAAGATGGGGAGGTCCTCAGACTCCAGGAACAAACCAACTGCTTGCCTATCTGACCTACCCGACCACCATGACGTAGTTCCAACTCCCTTATGCTTTAAGTTTGGCCCAACTCTGAGCCATGCAGCTGAGGCCATATGACAGCTGGACACCAACGCCCTTCCAATATTTGCTGGCTAAACCCCGAGCAGTTCCCCTGGGCATGGTCTGCATGCCCGATCCCCAACCTGGCCTCCTGGCTCTGGGTCTTTCGTCTGGAGAACATTACTCTCAGCAGTGCCTGAACTATTCTTTCTCACCCCCAGCCCCAGTAATTGAAGATTATCCAGGCCTCTCTGGGAAAACATCTTTCCTATTCCTTTGACCAAACCAACAAGTCTCTCCTAGAGAGCATCAACTATTGCCGGGCACTCCACTAAACACTGGGGCCTGGAGTCTCTAAGTCACCACGGCTGAGCAAACCAGATGGAGACAGACACCGAGTACGAGGGAAGTCAGTGCTGGAACAGAACGCAGGAGTACATGCTGGGCAGGGAGGGCAGGAAAGGGAAGACCATTCCAGGGCAGGAGCATGCGAGGAGCGTGACGGGGTGGGGAGAGGAAGGGCTGAGACCCGAGACTGTGAGACAGGAGGGAGACAGCAGGCAGCAGCCCAGGAGGACCTGCCGTGCTGTGCTGGGTGCGCAGGGACGGCCTAACCACTGACACATACTGGACAGAACCAGCTCAGCCTTGGGCTTAGGGAAGGCTTCTCAGGGCCTGGACTAAGAGGCCGATGCAGACAGGAGAAGGGACGAGAGCTGGTCACCGGTTAGATGCAGGGGACAAGAGACGGGTGGTTGGGGGCCAAGGGGTTCTTGAGAATCAACACCATTGGCCTTTCTGGCCCATGTTGGGGGGACTATCTGATTTTGGGGTCTCAATGTACAGAACGAAGACTCCAAGCCCTCCTGAACTTGGCAGTGTAAATAGTGATCGATGGAGGAACAGGTCTGCTTCCTCTTGTCCAAAACCCTTGGGGCCAGAAGGGTTTTAGGATTCAGAATTTTGTAGAATTTAGAGACATGATGTGATGTGCATATAATTTACCTATAAAACACCCCAAGTAGGGTCTAGGTCAGCATCCATTCACTGAAAACAGCATCTCTAAGAGCAAAATATATGAATATTTACACCAAGTGGCACAGACACGATCCATAGGTAGCTCATAGTAACAAATGTTGGATTTTGGTTTTCAAAGCCTCTAGGACTTTGGAGTTGAGCACTGTGGGGCTGTGTTTATGGGGATACAGAAAAAAAAAGTGCCAGGAAGGAAAAACGGTGACACATGACACGTGTCCCTTTGAGATCTTACCTCCTCCATGGGAATGACCTGGGCATAGCCACCGCCCGCAGCTCCTCCTAGACAACAGAGCAGGCACCATTTAGAACAAGTCACCAAGTTCAGCTACGCAGACAAACAACAGAGCCCCAGGGCCGCGGCTCCCCGAACCCAACAGGGAGGCATGTGCCCCCCAGGCAGTGAGGGACACGAACCGTTTATCCAGGCAGAACAGAGGGGCAAAGAACACTCACACTGTGTCCAAATGCAAATTAAGGACTTCACTTTCCTCTTTAAAAAAAAAAAAAAAAAGGGGGTACAAATAACAGCAACCCCCCCGGCAGCAAACTGAGATTATGTTATGGGTTTGTTCTTAGATCAGTGTGGCTGTACTTTGTTAAAGCTGCACATGCACTGAAGTAGCAAGAAACTTCGTTAAAAAAATCCATCTGATAAACTCAGACTAACGCATTGTAAGCTTCCATTTATTTTAGATAATAATATATATGATTTGCCTTGCTGCTTATCCTTCATAATTATAACACTATTACATTACAAAAAGCATTTTTCTAAAATAATAAGAATGCCTTCCATGTCCATACTGTTTTATATAGTTCACCCTATGTTTCCTACACTCTCTCATTTGGTCCTCTCCGTAAGCCTGGCTTATGCCTTTTTACTCTTTTTCACAGGTACAGCTCAGAGGGGTCACAACTGGCTAAAGGTCACACAGCAGTAAGGGACGCAGCCACGAATAAAACCTGAACCTTCTTGCTCCAACTCTAATGTTCATTCCACTACATGATGTCTGACATTCTGAATTATCAGTACTTAATTAGTTAGCAGTTATTAATATTTGCAAGAGTAATATAAATACACTGCTAAAAAATCACAAAGTGTCAATAACAACCAGTAATTAAAGTAATAGATGCTAATGTAAAGTGAGTTGGAGAATGATTGCGTGATAAGTCAATGAAGAAAGAGCAGTGAACGGGATGGTGCCAGACACAACCAGTGGGGAATTCCACCCCGTCTTGGTCCACAGCCGGTCAGAGTCCAGAGTTCCCTGGGCCCCACAAGCAACTCCAAACAAGAGGAGACTTGGGGTCTGACCGAAAGGGTCTCTATCTGCCTCAACGGAATGACCTTTACCACGGTTGGGATGATAAAACACCAGTATAAATGGCGGAGTTTCAAAGTTGCTTGGCCAAAGAAGGTTCTGATGAAACAGAAGGGTTCTGCTGAAGTTTGGACTCTCGAGCAGGAGACCTGCCACTGTTCAGGAAACCAACGGGATTGACTTCTCGGGTGGTTACGTTCAAACCCCTACTGCAGCGCCCTCTGCAGGACGACCAGCTAGGGGTGACCTCCACCTACAGAGTGTGGAGGAGGGGGTGCATGTACAGATAAGATGCACTAGTTTCTCTGATAAGTTTTGACCGCACATCTGTTGACGATGCTCTCTTTAAACTTTTCTTTAAGATTTTACCCCCCACCTCCAATTTTGCTCTGGAAAACATACTAGCTGTTCAAGTGAAGTACCTTTAACTCCGAAAGTTGGCCCCTGAGAAGGCTGCCTCAGACAGGCGAAGGAGTTGATGTTCAGGTGCGCGGTCAGGGCCTGCACGAGCCCAATTGTAACCGTGCTTTTCCCTTCGCCGAGAGGGGTGGGCGTGATCCTGATTTGGGAGAGAAAAGAGTAAGTGACTAACAATATTGCTAGACAATATTGCTAGTTTATGCGAAATAAACTTACGGTACCAAAGCCAAATCAGAGGATATTAGGAGAGAATATTCCATTTCGAAATCCACTTAATCAATTTTCTCGAACCATTATGGTCCACCCACAGCACACAGGCTGTGCTTAAATTACATCAACATACAGACACAACTGTACTGAGAGACCGGAAAAAAGAATTCATTAGGCAGTAGCACTAATAACATCAACCTTGAAAAACTGCAGAGAATTGTCCATTGAAATGGTTTAAAAAATTAAGCTCATGTTGTTTCCTGCTGATGGGTAATCTGGCATTTGTTCCTCCAGGGCCATTTCCTGGGACATAACATGGGCACAGGGCCTAACTCAATGGTCCCGTGGGACCTAACTCACTCTCAGGACTAGAAGGGATTCTGACATCCCCCACGCATCCATCTCCTTCTAGACACTGATGCCCAGGCTGGTCCCCACCATGTGTGAAAACAAGCAGCCATGGGAGCTCATTGCCTCCAGAGTGGCTCTTCGCTTCCAGCAGCTTTTACCGCTAGGAAGTTCTTTGCCCTGAAAAGGAGACATCTGCCTTCCTGTAGCCTCCTGTCTTTTTGGTTGCAGACACACTGAGCCTCATCCCTTCCCACACATACAACAGACCCTCAAATACTTAAAAAAGTCCAAAGCTCCTCAGCGCACTAAGGAGATCATCTGCGCTGTGGGGAGCTTATCGTTGGCAATGACACCCTGCAGAGCTGAACGTTGCATGTGCAGAGGTAACGATATCACAGTAGTATGTGATAGGCCAGGCAGGCATGTATCACATCCCCACATAAGATCCCATAAAATTGTTCTTTAGCGTATTCTAACCATTGTGACAAGTTTTAAAAACTATTACTTGGGCTTACAATATTGTCTTCTGTGCATCAGATTGTCCAGGACACTCAACCAAAACAAAACTGACGATAGTTTTCTGAATTGCAAAATCTAGTGATATGACCACAGAGAAGTAATGCCCTTACATACACTGTCCTCAACTATCTCAGACCACCAGAGCCATGCAAGCAACCGTTCATTCAGCAAATGTGTATTAAGTACTAGTATGTGCCAGGCTACTAGACCCTGGGGACATGCTGATGACCAATGTGGATTGTATTGTGTGGAGCCCACACAGAGCTCATGATTGATGAGATACATGGACAGATCAATCACTGTGTAATGACTGTGATAAGCACTAAGAGGGAATAGAGCAATGCCTGTATTATAAGAACACATGAAAGGAGGATCTAACTAGATCTGGAACATCAGGGAAGGCTTCCTGGAGGAAGTAATATCTCAACTGAGACCTGAGAAATAAATATAGTTAGACAAAATTGAGGGTAGGTTTGGGGCTATCAATATGCTAGGCTCTGTGTTATATTTACTGGGTTGATTATTTTTATTCCCACTTGAAAAATGAGGAAACTGAAGCACAAGGAGTTTAAGTTACTTGCCCAAGGTCACCCAATTAGTGGAAGTGGAAATCAAACCCAGGCAAGTATTCTGACCTTACAAGGTTACTTCTGTGGATGGAAATCATTAGCTATAATTAGTCACTTAAAGCATGGGAATGGGTAAGATCAGTCAACGAGAGTGAACAGAGTAAGAAAAAAAGATAACAAAATTGTTAAGAAGGTTTTCTCTCATGGAATAGTCAGAAGAGAGAGCAAAAGGAAGCCAAAAGAGCAGCGTAATGTACAGAGGAAAAGGCAGGGTCCAACAGGGAGTCTCAGGAGAAAAACCAAGGACGGGTCCAGAGCCTGAAGAGGTCTGAAGCCCGGTGAGGACCGAGAAGCGGTCACTGGATTTAGCAGCAAAGTCACTGGCAGGGAGCTGGGGGAGCAACCCTCAGACCCCCGCCCAGCCACATGGAGCCTGGTCCCACGAAGGCTCAAAGTTCTGTGAAGGTGTTTATTTATGCTTTGAGTCAACTTCCTATTTAACTGAGCACTCAGTTTGCAAAGGAGTTGGTGGTTTACTTAAACTTCACACGAAGGGTTACATTTTCAGGCCCAAGGATGTGCTCGCGGAGCTGCCAGAGACAGCCAAGAGCGGCCCCGCCCAGGGATGACCTCCTCAGAACGGCAGCTCACCATCCAAGTCTTAATTAGAAACACAGGGCTGCTTAGCTTTCTGCCAACAGTTACAAGTCAGGAAAAGCCGCAAGTAGGAAGTATTTACTGGGGGGCAATAAAAGGAGAGTACAGTAAAGACTTAGTCCACCTCGTTTCTGCGTATGGCATCAAAATGTGGCTTAGACGCCATCCTCATGTTCTTCACTCAGCTTCCCAGTTAACAAGCTGACGCAGAAAACAAGCTGCGTGCCGACCTAATTTCTTTTTCTATAAGAACCGAGAGTTTGTGGACAGAGAGCTGTGATTTTTGCTCATTATTTTCCTCAACTATCCCCCGCCAGCTGATTGATCTGCTCCCCCTAACACTCACGACATTTATCATGTGTTTGTTCTACACTTTGCCAGAGGGTGTTACTCTGAACCGCCTGACACATCTGGTTCACATACTGGCCATGAGCTTGCTCAGGTGAAGGATTACACCCAATGTCACTGCATTTCTGTCACCTGTCCAGGGCACAGAGGAGCACAAAACAGTAGACAAGGGGCTTTTAACACGTTTTCTGAGATAAATGTTTACGACACCCATTATGAAAATCTACTGAAGGGTTCTGTGACTACTTGGACATGATTTGAAAGAAGCCTACCACTTACTCAGAGATCAGCTAGATTGCTTGCATGGTGGTAAAAACTCTCCAAATCTAGAATCTTGTTAAACAGCGTCATTGCCATGAGCCACGGTCTAACTGTGAACTCCACCACTGGGTGCTCAGACAGCGCACGAGTGTATGTCACTCAGCCAGGTATCGTCAGGAGGTGAAGGGCTCTTTTTAAAAGCCTTTCATTATCTAACGATAAACCCCTCGTCCGTGTGGTTGTGTCTCCCTCACGTGTTGCAGAGGTCAACAGTCCGAAGGTCCTGTCACTGAGGTGTGTTCTGAACACCTCTGTTCTATTTTGCAAGAAACACAAATAAAAGAAAAACTGATAGATAGTTTTAATAGTTACCTAAGGCAGAAAAGCACAATTTTAGAAAAACCAATAGAGGTTACTTTCTCACAGATCAAAGTAAAGGGTTGAAAACAGTAAAAAAAAAAAAAAATTAATTAAAAAGAATCAAATCCAGTGTTGGACACTCTACAGAAAAAAAAGCGACATGAATAATTTTAGTTTTTCTTTAATGTGAAATTTATTCTCTTCACAGACTGATCTGGGCTTCTTTTTTAACTGCTCTGCTCAAGCAATTCAGAGACATTCTAGAAGCTTCTGCACGGAAACCGGTAAAGGGCCCGTGGAGACGGCTCCTGCACACACTCAGTGCCCCGCAGCTGCGCTCCGAGTCAAGTTCTCAAACAAATTCCTTTTCATTAGTGTAACTGGGAAAATATGTAAAACTCAAGAGCCCCTCCGATTCTTCTGGCACAGTTCCCTGAACGATTCCCAATACTTTTCGTTTTGTCAGGCAGAGCAAATAAAGTGATGTGTAGGTGTAAATACCATGCGATGTGCAGCTGATGAAATACAGATGATTCTGACAAAATAAGGAATTCTGAAGTTTGAAGAATAGCCTTTTAAAACAAATTAATCTGTTCTGCATTTGGGTTACTAACAACAGAAAAAAAATGTTAAGCTGTTGTTTTATATATTCATCCCACTGTCAATATATTTAAATTGCATTCACCCATAAATTGAAATGTACAATAACAAACAGGTTACTTAGGTTTATTAAAAAGGCTTATTATTCGTGGGCATCTGAATTCTAAAGCACGGGGAAAGCTGTACATTACAGTTTTCAGAAAAAAAACGCCAGCCACAGAGCAGTGTTTATGGCCTGATCTTAACATGTATGAAGGGCAAATGCACGGATCAAATCCTGGCAGGAACTACAGGGATTTTTAACACTTCTGAGAAATGAGAAAGTTAGTTTTCTCCTTCTTGGATACTCTTCTTTATGTTAATTTTTTAAGCAATGAGCCAATATTATTTTCAGATTTTTTTTTTAAAAACCTTTCAGAAAACGTCTCCATTTAATGGAGGGGTTATTTGTATTTCTAAAGAAGTGCATAATGGTTTGATAATGTCACTTCTCCATGACTGACTTGATCAAAAGTACAAATATGGAGGTAAAAATGTCTGTTTTAAACTAATCTCAAACACCCAGCTATTACAAGATTAGATACCAAAGGCAGCTCGCAGACTTAAATATCACTGTTGTGTTGATGGGGGAAGTTTATTGCTCCCTCAGAGTACAGTATGGCACCCGTTTTCTAAAACCCTTCAAGTTCTGCTACAGACGCATATAGATCTCAAAATCCTACCCTTACAGCTGTTTTTCTTTCCCAAAGCAGTTGAAAAGAACACAATTTAATTTTTGTTCCTTCATAGGTATTTTGCTCAGTAAGGAAGCTATACCACAATTTCACAAAAGAACTGATCTCTTTGGGATAAATTTGTACTAGAGAATTCAGGTTTAATACTCATTTCTGTCTACAACACGGCGGCCTGGCTTCTTTAGCTCAATGGCCCACATAAATATTAGCAGGAGATGGTGCACAGCAGCGCTCTCCTGGGTGCGGGCGGACGTGTAGCTGTAACCGCTAGTCACGTTCCTGGTCATTCTCCAGCGCATGGCGGGAGGCCAGGCTCTCAGAAGTCGGACTTCAAGTCAGGAACCTGACAGCAATACCAGCAGAGCTTGTTTTAGAAGCATCAGTTCTGTGTTCCCAGCTAAGGGCAGGGCCATGTCTACACCAGTGTTTTTATGCCCAATATTGAGATGCTCCAAACAGAGTAAGCCACAGCCAGTCCATATGAAAAAACGCTGCATGACTGTTCCTTCGTAAACTGAGTTTTCCTCCAGCCCTCCCACCCTAAACAGGGTGAAATGTCCAGCAAACCCACCCACTGGGAGAAGGAAATGATATCGTGGATAAGATGCGGCATTTGCTTTGGAAGTTTTCGACGTCCAAGTTTGTTTACTCACTGCAAACAAACTTGCATGGAACATTCGTCCTCAAAGCAACACTGACTAGGTGCTGCTGACCCAGGAACCCCCTTCCCTGCGCCCTGGTCAGCTGGCTGCTTTCACAGACTGGCCCGGAAGGGCCAGCGGGTGGGACCAACACCTCTCGGCAAGGGGCTCTCCTGCAGTGCAGCTCAGCTCAGACGTGGGACATTAGGGTTCGGCTGGGGACGTCCTAGGTTGGAAAGAACCCCATTAAGGTCGGGAGTCCAACTCTAAGGGAGCCGAGGAGCCTGGAGGAGGAGGCTTAAGCCCCAGGCAACCGAGGTGCTGCAACCAGGTATGAATTCCTCAAAACCACAGTGACGCGGAAAAACCCTGGCAGCCAACCCCCCTCTTCAAAACAGTAACAGAAGGCGCTGAAGAAAAAGGAGAGTGGGAAGGGGGAGGAGAAGGGAGAGGAGACACGAATCACTTACTGTATCATTAAAAAGGTGACATTATGCATGATAGCTGGATTTTTTTTGTAGTTTTATCTATTTGTAGTTTTGAAACACTGAATTCACTCTTCAGTGAATTCCTAGGCATGAAAAATCCCTAGGAAAAGTCCAGGACAAATGAACAAATACGCAGGCCCACGGTTGGTAATTTCAGCACTGTTTATAATGGGTCAACAGTGATACACAGTTTAATTCCCAGCAATAGAGAATTGGTTAAATGAGTTATGGGACATCCCTAGGATGTTTCGAGTGTTTTTTCTGCCTCTCCAGACTTGAAGCATGAGAAACACACCGTGCTATTGCTAGCGGCTGGGACCTGGATGTGTTTCTCAATGCCGGGAAGATGTGGGCCATGGAGCCCACCTGCATCATCTCAGGCATTTCTACCCCTCGCTCCGCCTGGGGCCCCCTCCCTGGCCCTTGCTGGATCTCGATGTGAGCAGCGAAGTGGTGTGTAGTCGTGGAACATGCTGGTGCGGCTCTGCATCGACTGCAGGGAGCCGGGTGCCCCGCTCACTGCCGCACAGTCAGGTCGCTGCCAGCAGAGCCATGTGAGCGATCTCGCTTCTGAGTGGCTGTACCTGTGTCCCAAGGGTCTCAAAGGTGAGCAGCTGCTTCCTCGGGGTGCTAGAGTTTGGGATGATTCACACTTTTTTTTATACTTTCTGTAGTATGGAACTATTTCTACAATGAGTAGGCATGATTTTTACAACCAGAAAAAGAAACAACGCCCTTAGATTTAATAATTAAATATGTAAAAAGAAAGTTACTTGTGAGCCGAGTCCAGGGACAAGGAATGTCTCTGCCTGTTGAGAAGTCTTTGTGCCTCAAACCTTGGCCTGTATGTCATTAGCAAGCCTGTGCGATGAAATTATAAAACAGCAAAGGAATTTATATGGTGTCTGGATGTTCCCTCAGGTCACGCTGAATAAATATTTTAAATCCCTTGTTTTCTATCATTTTTTTCAGCTAGTGAATGCATTTCTTTTCTTTTAAATAAGGAGAGTAAAGCAAACACTCCTTTTCATAAACACTGGGCATTTGTCTCTGGCCCAGTATCAATTATGAAATGCAAAAAATTTTATACATATATATGGACTGAGCTTTTACAATTCAAATACATCCATAAGAAATGTTAAAGACAAGAACAGGAAAATCAGCATTTCATGGAATTATCTGTACATTTGCCACAAAAATGTCATTTCTAAGTTGAACACAAAAACGCTCTGCTCAGTTCAAAGTATTTGACTTTTAATTCTTGTTTAATTTTTATCCTGAAAACTAAAGGGAAAATCCAAGGTGGACAGCAAAGGTGATCAAAATACAATGTGAGAAACAAAAATAAAGTACTGAATTAGTGACTCCTTACACTTCGTATTTTGTAGAGACCGATTTGTTTTGCCCTGACAATAAAAACTTACCTCTCATCTCAGGAAGGAATGCCAAGCAAAATGGACAAGATAATGTCAATCTGAGAGAAGGATGGATGTGACAACAGATGGACATACGGGGAAGGGAGTTCGATAGACGTGTCTTGTTACTAAAAATTTAGAGTAGTCTTACCCAGCAACTAGGACGTATTTTCCATCTGCTTGATCCTTTAGCCTCTCCAGCAGGGACAAACGTACTTTGGCTTTGCTTCTGCCATAGATTTCAATTTCCTCTGCGAGCAATCCTATCTCTTTGGCAAGGACATCCACAGATTTTGGAGTCTGTGCTCTTGAAATCTCAATATCGCTGGAAGAAACATAAAAGGCAAGAGTCTTCTCAGCTTAGGTGGTCGCTGCTGGAGTGAAAAACAACCACATGCCACGCCAGCAACTGAATCAATGGGACGGCTTCGTGGCCCCTTCTCCCGAGCAGTATTAAGCCAACAAGTGACGTACAGGAGAAAATGGTATATTGCTTTAGAGAAGCAACTCTGAAAAACTGGTAAAGATCCCAGAATTCTGCCCAGGTACAAGAAAAACACCTGTGCCATAGGAGAGGAGGCTGTATATTACAATGCGCCTGTAAGTATAATAAGTCCATTACACAGCACGATGCTTTCTATGGGTCTCTGCTGCATTCACCGACCACAAACGGGTGAGTTACTGCATAATGCTCGCTCATTGGGCTTGTCGCCTGTGTCTTCTGGCTCTTCAAAAGTGTGAAAGTGCTATTTGATCTGTGTCCATACGTTCTCTTTCTTATTTCAAGTCCAAAACCCTATTTCAAAATGTTGCATTAATTACATCACTGTAATGGACCCAGTGCCCCTGGGCAAACGCTTTATTCCACTTTCCCATCTGGCAAGACAGGAGCACCGCTGCTCATCTCTTGCGAGTGCTATGAAACTCAGTGTGCTCTGAACGCCTCGGAGCCTTTTAGGGGTTCAGGCCGTCCAGCTCTGCCCGGCCATCCACTTGGGAGTGAGACCTGGCAGGCACGAGCCAGAGTGTGGGAGAACAGGCATCGGAGATGGAGAAGACGGCTGCCACTTCTCGGACAGGCCCTGGAGCCCTGATTTGGGGGCGCAGCAGCCTCTGCACTGGCGGGGGAGGACGGATCACCCCCTGCTCTGGTTTGATCGTTCCTACTGCTAACGATCTACTCTTAGCCCCCACTGGACACCGAAATAATAGCAAAGCTACCTCTAGTTCCATCTTCTCCAAAGGGTATGAGAACTGCTCAGAGAGGGGAGAGGGCACCTTGGGCCAGAAGTGCTGCTCTGTGTGCCGGGCCAGCTTCTCCCTTCCCCAGTCCCCTGCGTCTTCCTCCCCTGCCCCCCTTTACTGCCCAGGCTCCTGCTTCATTTTACTTTCCAAGCTACCCCTCTCACCCCCGCTGTCTCTCTCTCTCATTCTCTTTCCTGCCATAATCTCCTAAATCAAAGAGCCCACTCTTGGAAAATCTTCAAAGTTTTCTCTCTTCACTAGCTAAAGAGTGATAGTGACATCATTTTCATTTTTTGAGTAATTTATAAACTATTCAGCCTGCCTTCTTTTGCCCAGTGGCTCTAGCAGTCAAATTTGGTTGAACAATTAAAGTATTCCCCTCTCCAAAAAGAATTTATTTTGATTTATGCAAAGATTAGGGTATAAAATTTGGTGGAGTTCATCTTAATTTCATTTTTGCTCTCTGTAAGTAAAATTTACTCATGTACTTTTAAAAATTAAGGTCCTATACCAAAATAAGTAACTTGAAAAGTATTTTATGAAACACTATAGAACTACAGGGATGATACTACAAAAAAACCCAGCATTCCTTGGAATGATGCATTAAGGAAATGGAAGATGACTAAGGTGTTTAGTTTATTTCAGGGGCAAAAGCAAGGCCTGGGAGGTTCCACCAGCTTGCAGGGTGTAATTGAACTCCGGGTTCAGTGCCTGCCCAAGGAAACAGGGCAATTCTAAAAAGCAACGGGTTTGGCTAGTGAAAACTTAGCCAATGGCTGCTAAGTGCTTCCCAATACTGGCCAATACAGGACCACCTGGGGCAGCTGGGCCGCCTGGGGAAGCACCTGCCTTCTGTGAAAGGGGCGGGGCCAACTCACGGAAGGGGGGCCAGGGGGGAAGTCACAGAGGACTCGTTATGGAGATTGCATTTCTCTGGCTCAGCTATCTTATCTAACTATGCTAAAAATGCTGAGGCCATGTTCTCCAGTTTGTATTTCCAGTTTTACACAGAGAATATGTAGCTCACACATCACTAAATCCCGCTCTGAAGAAAGCACCCACCCGGACCATCAGGATGCAGTCCCACATACATTGGTGTTTGGTGGGGTCAGCTGCTTCCCCACCCCCCCACCCCTGGAGGAGCCCGCATGGCCCTAAAACCCAGATGGCACATGTTGGGAATTTCTATCACCTAAAACATAGTCCAATGATGACATTACCATATTTGGTCAAATTTAAGACGCCATTATTTTATGAACAGTGAGGTACATCATGACCTCAGAAATTTAAAAAACCCCACATATTAGAAATAATAGGATATGGTAAACATGTTCATTGTTATTTCATTTTGGAGTATTTAAACAATAGAAAAAATAGTGTGGCAGTTAAATGACCAACTGTCAAAGCCATAACACCCCACGTCGTGCCCCCCACTCCCGGGGTCACTCTGCATGTCTGAGACAGTGTGGAGAGCTGGCACCGCATGAAACAAACCACCGGGTACCTTGGGACTGGGGACAGGGGCTGGAGTTTCAAGCAGTGAAGCCTCCACCTTGTGTACTGCTGTTCACGAAGCCATCGCCGGCTGCTGACGACCATGTTCTTCGGTGGAAACAGAAAGGAAAACCTGTTAGAAAAGTCAGAGCTGACAGGACATGTGTCTGGGCTGTTACAATACCGTTCGGGGATGCCACGCCACCGACCCCGGTCACTAACAGGGATAATTTTATTCTCCTGTAATTAAATTTGCAGGTTTTTCTTAAAAAGGGAAATGTGAGCTGTATGTACTAATAAAACAGGTTGTGTTCACTAAGACATGAAGTATGCAGATTAAAAATTACAGAGTGGGTTCTTCATCTCCATTAGAGAGGAAAACATGAGAATACATGAATAATCAGGTTGGACGCCCAGCTTCCAAAATTTGTCACACCATTTCAAGTGTAATCCTTTTACAGTTGATGCAATGGAGTGAGCAAATAGAATTATTAAACAGTAACACACAGAGAGGAATAAAATTTGGCTTTGGTTGAAATGTAACGTAATTCTCACATCCCATTCTGAATGGAAAGTTTTCACTGTGTATTGCTGTGCAAGGAAGAAACGAACTAAACTTTGCTTCTGTTTAACTTTGCTGAGGCGTGAACTTGAGCCTCCGGCTTCTCCACGGGCAGCTAGTGCCTCTGCTGGCCAGCACCATCCCTACAGGCTCCGGCACCAGCTGGGAGCTTGCACGGCAGAGACCTGGAGACCTTGGGATTTAGGTCACATAGATGGGGGTGGTTCAAAAGGATGTCCACAAATCCTTTAATACTCCTCTTGTCTGCAAGAGGTGAGCCCCATTCCCTTCCTCTTGACTGGGAACTAGAATGGAGGCTCACTCCTAGTGGAGAGGAAAAGGAAGTGGAGGTATGTGCCTCTGGAGACAAGGCCATAAAATCTACCGCAGCTTCCTGGTTTTCTCCTGCAGATTTCTCATTCTGGGGGAGGCTGGCTGCCATGCTGTGAGCGGTCCTGCAGGGAAGTCCATGTGATGGGGAATGAGGCATCCTGCTAACAGCCACTGAGGAATTTAATACCATGTGGCAGTGGCCATGTGTGCGTGCCATCTAAGAAGTGGACACCCGGTCCCAGCCAGGCCTTTGCATGGCTGTGGCCCCAGCAGACACCGCGCACGAGGGACTCGGAGTTAGAACCATCCAGCTAGGCTGCTCCCAAATCCCTGACCTGCAAAAACTGTGAGATAATAAATGCTTGTTGTTTTAAGTTGCTAAATTACGGGGTCACTTATTATGTAGCAAAAGATAACTAATAATGAAACCTGACTTGGGTCTGGGCCCCAAACCTGACATGTGACCAAAGGCAAGTGACTGAATTTTTCTGAGTCTCCATTTCCTTATCAAATGGGAAGATCATTATTCGAGAGGGCTGTTGTGAGAATTAAATAACACGTGTACAAAGTGTTCAACACTGCGTCTGCTAAACAACAACAAAAAACTGGTAAAATATTAGCGACTATAAATCAAAAGCTCCGAACTCAAAAATTCTCACGTGTCTGTGTCACACACACCTGGATCCGCAGGGCCGCAGCGAGGAGGCTCACGTCATTTTCTGTGATGGGACCACCGTGTTCGCCCAGAGAACCGCAGCCAAGCTTCCCTGCGACAAATTTGAGAGAAAAAATGACTTTCGGCCCATCATCATTTGTAACCAAGTGCTCCTTGTGCAAAGCCGCAAGCACACCGGATGCTCCACCCAAGCTGGGAGGCCGTGGCAGGCGCAACAGCCACAGGGGGGTCAGCGACCCCTAGCACCACCTCAGGGCTCGCACCCGGGCTGCAGACTGTAACCGGCTTAAAATCTTCCCTCCACCTCTTACTAGCAGCTGGGACACTGAGCCTGTTAACTGATGAGGGTCGTATCAACCTCATGGAATTTTGTGAGAATTGAGTGTGATATGGTGTATAACGTGCTTTATATAATATATAAAGTAAAAGGAGGTCCACTCATGGATACAAAGTATCAGAAGAGGGACTCAACACGTACTTGATAAGCCCAGCCAGAGAGTTATGTGGAAGCTCAGCTTTCTCAGATAATTTAAAAAAATTTCTGCCATAAAAGTGGTATGACCGATTTCTCATCAAAACTGAGAAATTTTGGAGTATTAATTCTGGGGATTACCTGGTTTTCAAAATAGAGAGGTACTTACAAGAATTCTATATTTCTCTCCTGTTGGCACTTTAAAGTTTATAAAAAGTAAATACACGTGTAAAACGCTTTAGCTTACATTCCCCCTTAGAGAAAAGAAACATTTCTAATAGCGACTCTGTTGAATTAAGAAATAAGAAACTCTTTCCCTCTTTTCTGGCCATTTCACTTTTAAATGATCAATTTTGCTGACAGTCCTTTGCGAGAGAGCACGAAACACTTCAGAGTAGGTGTTCTGTGATGTTCTATTGTCAAATGTATTAAGGGTGCTGGAAAATCATATCCCTTGGGTATTATTTAAAGATTAGCAACACTTCAGTTTTATAAATCATACTCAGGCAAATGCCAAGAGTCTAAAGCAGGGGAGAGATTTGTTTTGTTATGTTTTGTTTGAATCACCAGAGATCTGATCTGAAGGTCTTGTCCAACCACCACGGAAAAGAAATATGCTTTCCTCTATCTTTAAATGATGGGGACACAGGAAAAGGCTGCATTCTAGGAACTGGTATCAATTTAGAAATGCATGTTCCCGGAACGGAATCAGAAATACCCCTGCGAATGAGGATTATTTTGCCTATCGAATTACACAGTGAATAATTCTTCCCATCAGCTCAACCACCACCTTGCATGGTTGAAACAGAACGTGGCTAAAATCAACAAGGACTTTAAAACACAACACAAAATGCACACACACACACACACACACACACACACTTTAAACCTTAGAAGAATCTTGTATGAACCAATATTCCTCTTTTTTGAAGGAAGTTATTTGAATTTCAGTAATGCTTTTATGTCATTTTCCTCCCACTATATTCCATCCCATGAAATGCCTTTTTAGGAGAAAAATGCAAGATGGCTTCTCAAGGTGAATGGATCAGAAGTCACTGTTCCTTTCTTCTGTGCACTATTCCGTATTTCACAAAGCTGCTAACATGAATACTGCATTGCTTTTGTAGAAGGGTCAATGTATCTTAAAACCAAATTAAAAATTTTGAATCCAGAAAATCTGAAGCAATGGAGATGGTAACTTGGTGAATTAGGAATCTGTCCTTAACAAATTTCATGGCTGAAGAGGACGGAGAAAGGAAATCATTATCTCACTCCCCGCCCGCATGGAGGGCGGGCCCATCCTGAGGGCTGTCGGTCCAGCAGGGGTCCCCTTCCCAAACCAAATGGTTCTTCTCACTTCCCACTGAACACTCCCCATTAACTCATAGCTCCTCCAGGGAGGAGTCAATGAATCACTTTAAAAGACAGCCTTTCATTTGTAATTTTTTTTTAATGATAACCAAACTTTCTACAGAAAAATTTAAGGCTGAAGTGTTACAACACTTTCCCTGGAAGTCAGAACAGGGCTTTTCTGACAGGAGCTGTTTTGGGCCCACCCTGGGACCTGTGCCAGAATAGATGACGTGGGGGGGACGGTGGCAACTTCGGCAGTCTTCGTGCTGTCTCTGTTACAGGGAAAGGGTCAGCGTTTTTTATATTTTGGCAATCTGGCCGAGAACACCCTTCTTATCGAAAACATGCTGCAGGAACCCATAGGCTGAATTTTAAATATTTTCTCTCCCTCCTAGAACAAGTCACCAAAAAAAAGTATGTGAAGGTCTGAAAACAAAAAGAGCTAAAAATTACCAATTAGTACAGATTGAACTTTCAAAAAACACGGATGATAAGTTTTTAAGTTAAATAAATCAAGTTAATATGTTCAATTAAATACATGAACGGTAAAACGCAGTTAATAAAATTTCAGTACCATTTTTGTAGAAGTGCTCAAGAGTCTCACCTGTGACTGCAAACATCGGATTCCATTATCAAATGAGAATGTGGTACTGCTTTTGAAAAGGATATAATGTGAGAGTCTTCAGAGAAAGGACTATAATCAAAATGGGTATTAACTTACATAAGCAGTCCTTTAGAAATCAGTCAAACTGAATTAAGAAAGAAATTACTACAACACAACTCCATTCTAAGAAGACAAGCAACCCAATTAAAAAATGGGCAAAGGACTTAAAACAGACACTTCTCCAAGGAGGACATACAGAGGACCCAAAGACACATGAAAAGATGCTCAATATCACTAGCTATCAGAGAGATGCAAATTAAAACCACAATGAGAGACCACTTTACACCAGTCAGGATGGCCATCATAAACAAGGCAACAAACAACAAGTGTTGGAGAGGTTGTGGAGAAAAGGGGACCCTAGTTCACTGTTGGTGGGATTGCAGACTGGTGCAACCATTATGGAAAACAGTATGGAATTTTCTAAGAAAACTAAAAATGAATATGCCTTTTGACCCAGCAATTCCACTGCTAGAAGTATATCCTAAGAACCCTGAAAAACCAATCCAAAAGAACCTATGCACCCCAATGTTCATAGCAGCACAATTTATAATAGCCAAGAGTTGGAAGCAACCTAGGTGCCCATCAGTAAACGAATGGATCCCAAAACTATGGTACATTTATACAATGGAATTCTATGCAGCAGAAAGAAAGAAGGAGCTCCTACCCTTTGCAACAAACAGCATGGATGGAACTGGAAAGCATTATGTTGAGTGAAATAAGCCAGGCGGTGAAAGACAAGTACCATATGATCTCACCTTTAACAGGAACCTAAACAACAAAACAAACAAGCAAGCAAAATATAACCAAAGACACTGAAATACAGAACAGGCTGACAGGGACCAGAGGGGAGAGGGGAGAGAATTTCAGGGGAAAAGAGGAAGGGTTTACAGGAAGGAACAAGTATAAAGAACACATGGAGAAAAAACTAAGGGGGGTAGAAATGGGAGGGAGGTGGGGAGCACTGGGGGGGGGGCTGGGATGGGAGTAAAAGACAGAAAACTGTACTTGAACAATAATGAAATTTTAAAAATGCTTTTAAAAAAAGAAATTAATACAGACTTGTTTATTCTAAATGGCTGAGCCTTTAAAAAAGTAAAAAACATTAAATATATTATATCAAGAACTAATTAAAATTTGAATAAAAAAAAAACTGTCAACAACATATCTCAGGAATAGATCCAAAACATCTAGAATTTCCTAAAAAAAATTAAGGAAAATGGGTAATACTTAAGGTTCAAAAGTCATAAGCAAATATTCCAACTTTAATAGGATAATGATTAAGTTACAAGCATGCCTAATTTCCCTAAAGCTACCTTCTTATATTCTCCGAATCTCATTGGACCTCATCTTTCCTTGGGGCGTGGCTTTTCAGACATAAATTTGCATCCCGCTAACATGAGTCTGGAAGCTGTTTTATGTGCTTGGCCGTGCGGTAACAAGTAAGTGGAGCGGGGAATTGGACATTTACTGGCAGTTGCTATGAGATGGCCCCTGAAGTGGGCATCTCATTTATTCCTCCCAATAGCCGTGCTCTCATCTTGCCCACAAGCACAATGAAGAACAGAGAGCTTACATTATTTGCTCAAAGTCACACAGCCTATAATTACAATGCAATTAAGAATTAAAAGAAACCAAAAAACCCTCTTGTCTGATTCAGATCCATGCTGACCCAAAATTCCACATTCTTTCCACCATATATCCTTCAGGCCCCTAAGAGAAACGGCTCACAGTCCCCTGAGACCCTTCAGCCCATTAGCAGGAGCCCTGGCTAGGATGCAGCCTGAGGTTCTGCCCGACTCCACACTAAAGACAATTATGTTTGCTTGCAACGGTGCTATAAACTATTCTCGTCCACAAAGTTGCTGTTTTGATACTGTTTTCTGGGCCTAAGACATAAGACCAGTTTCTCTTTTGTCTTACTTGGTACAACGGGAAATAAGTCCTAATATTGGGGTACCAAATGGTCTTGCTTTAGCAAGCAGAGCATTACAAAATCACAGCCCACTTCTTTCATTTGAAATAATCATTTAATAATAAATGAGTTCTCCTTCTAGCCAGAAAACTGAACACTGCTACGGCCCTGTTTTAAATCTAAGCAGAGCTGTGCCACAGAAGAGTGAGCCAAGCCAACGAGTTAGGAGTAACTGTTTTCCGAGCCCTGCTCCTGGGATGTCAGCCATCGGGAAAATCTCGCCAGAGATCAGGTATTCAATAAAATGCCTCTATAGAATTACCTCACATTAATCACCACAACCCATCTACTTTTACGGGGGTGAGGAGGAGGGTGGGAAAACCCTGTACCATTGAGTATGAAAATTTCATTATAAAACCCTACCTTCATTCGACCACAAGTTTCTTAAAAATTCTTTTGTTCTTAAGTTTAAATAAAAGCATTTTTCCTTTTAAGTAATGATTGGAAAGTCTATTCACGGTTTCAAAGGGATGAGATTGTATGAGTCGGGGGATCCTTCATCAGTTTACTCACGGATTAAATTTTCATACAAATCAAGGATGTTAAAACTTTGACTACTGGGGAATGTAATGCTTTTCTCAATAGTACTGACTAAAAAACGTTCACCCATTTCATCAGCACAGCATTTCTTACCTTTGTCTTTGCCCTGCCAGCCCTGCTTTTACGTGGGAGACAAGTTCAAGAAAATGTCTCTAAATCTATAAGTAACTTAAAACTGCAATCAGGCCCTGGCTGGTGTAGCTCAGTGGATTGAGCGCAAGCCTGTGAACCAAAGCATTGCTGGTTTGATTCCCAGTCAGCGCACATGCCTGGGTTGCGGGCCAGGTCCCCAGTATGGGGTGTGCTAGATATAACCACACATTGATGTTTCACTCCCTCTCTTTCTCTTTCCCTTCCCCATCTCTCTAAAATAAAGAAATAAAATCTTAAAAAAAAAAAACTGCAACCATAATATAACTCTGAGCTGAGCCCACTCTTATGCACTCAGTTAACACTAAGTATTAAATGAGCACTTACTATGTGTCAGGCACTATTCTGGGCTCTGGGCACTCAAAACAACCACAAAACTACTACTGGACCAGATACATTTAAAATAAACTAACTGCAATCAGTCTACACATAAAATTGATAAATGAAAACATAAGGGTTTGGTGTCCCCCTCACCCCCACAGAATCATTACATTGAAATCTAGTATTCTAAAAGATGTCTCTAAAAACATAAAGGCCCTAAAAGAAATTTATTAAAAATAAGGCAGAATTTCACTAATAAAGTCTGTCACCTTCATATGAGGGAGGGGACCCCAAAAAACTGGAATCATCTTCTGGTGGGCAGGCCCCTGTAGTCCATGCTTCCCCACTAGGTGAGTGCTCTAGGAACCCATCTGTGTCACTGCACCAGCTGGTGTTGTTGTGAGAGGCTGCATTCGGCTCCAGTGAATCTTTTTTGAAGACTCTTTCAACACATTTGCCCATTTCGTGATGGGTGATTTACGAGTACAAGTGCCTACACTGGGCTGAAATGTTTAGCAGTTTTTGACCAAAAAAACACGAATACAGTGCCCCACCCTCCCTATTCACATGATTTCGCCCTGCGCAACTTTTTTGTTTGTTTCCTTGAATGAAAAAAGTCCTTTTTTATTTCACTTGTAAGAAGTGAAACAACAACAAAAAAAGTTGCAGAAGCACTAAAAGGCATCAAAATGCACAAGTTCAAAAACTACCTTGAGCAATTGGAAAATCATCTCGACAGGTATATTGCATGAAATGGAGAATACTTTGAGGGTGCCTGAAGTTTAAATATGTAAGAATAAACACATAATTTTTTATAAATAAACTCTGGGATTTTCGGTCCCTCTTTGTAGAATCCTGGGTCTCGAAGGGAATCCTAAAGAACGTGGAAACATATTCTCTTATCTCCAGCCAGGATCATGCCAAAATTGTCCTGAATATATAAACTCCAATAAAAAACTGCAAGCAAATGCTATAACAAAGAAAAACATTCATTGAAAGAAATAATGTCGTGACTGACTTTCCAATAGGGATTCTGAGTCCAGGGGCGGATCTGTGCCATGTCCATCATTTTATGAGTTAGGTGTTGATTTTTTGGGCGGGGGGTATATCCAGAGACCACATTTATTACAAAGGAGTTATTCAGAGTATGCCTTCTATTTGCTTTTAAAAAGCCATTAATTCCACATTCATATTATATTGCACGTAAGCGATTCATTCACCTAGTGCTCCTTACCCAAGAGCTGAGTACACAAGCATTCTGGGCAACTCCTGAGCATCTTCCCTTGGCCTCTCCAATCCACACCAGCCCCTTCAGCCAAGGGGTTTTTAATCTGATTGTTAATTCTGGGAGGACCTACATTTCCTAGAGTGGAAGATCCAATACTACTCTCTGAAGAAAGAGTTGTACCAATTTCAGTAGCGCTTTTATTGGGTTAGCCAAAAAGTTTGTTTTTTTTTTCCCATAAGATGGCTCTAGTAGTGCTCAGTTGTCCTTAACTTCATTGGAAACAATATAGACTGTATTGTGACAGCTGTCCTATCAGTGTGCATTTAAAAAAACGTATCGAAATTGTTGAATTTTTGTGTAGGCATTTAAATATGGAAGATGGAACAAAATAAGCAACATTTTCAGCATATTATGCTTTATTATTTCCAGAAAAGTAAAAATGCAACTGAAACATACAAAAAAGATTTGTACCATGTATGGAGAAGGCGTTGTGACTAATCAAACATGTCAAAAGTGGTTTGCAAAGTTTCATGTTGGAGATTTCTTGCTGGATGATGCTGCGCAGTTGCCAACGCAGACCAGTTGAAGTCGATAGTGATCAAATTGAGACATTAATTGAGATCAATGCATTATACCACGTGGGAGATAGCCAATATACTCAAAATATCCAAAGTAATAAAAGTTACTGGTGAAAATGAAAAATGTGTCCTTCACTTTATGGAAAAAACTAAACAGATGTTTCAACCAACCCAATAGCATCATACTAATTTTATTCTCTTCTATAATACCCCATAAAATTAAGTTGAATGATTTTTAATGAAAAAACAGAAGTAAAATAGTTCTCTTGAGGGACTGGATCAGAGGTTATTTTATTTCCTTCTGGATATTATTCTCTAAGGAAGATCTCGATGTCCACTGTGACGCTGGCAAGGTGGGAGAGGGCAGAGGCTTCCACCCACTTTGGGCTGAAATCTGGAGGACACAGGTAAGGAGGAAGGAGGGTTCCTTCGCCTCCCTTTGCCTCACTACCTCTTGCATCAAAACGTTACCCAGGAACTTGAGGAGGGGGGCTGAGGGTGCTCCAAAACTTCCCTGGCCTCAGAGTGTCTTCTGTGAGTGAGAGGAGGGTACCTCCCGCTGGCCCCTGGCTCGGTGCCCCAGTGCTCAGTGTTGGCAGAGCTCGAGCTACCCTAACAGGGGGGCCTGGTGTGGTCCAGGACATTCCTGGATCCCATGTCAAAACACCGTCAAACATGAGCACCAATCCCAACACCACGTCTGGTTCTAATGGTGACTGTCACACTGTTCTGAGATGCCTTTGTGGGGCAGGGAGGGCACCGCAAGGGGAAATCAAGGAAATCAACGATCTCCAGTTTCTCTTCCTGCCGGCAACTCGTTACGTCTGTGTTGAAGTTTAGCTGAGAGTCTCTGGGAGGAAGGATTCTGCAGCTTTTTAAATAATGGTGGAAACCAGTATCTTTAGTTGACCTCATGCATGTACAAATTATCTACTTTAGAGCAGCAGGGGAGGAGGAGGAGGAGGAGGAGGAGGAGGAGGTAGCCGCTGTACTTGGCATCCCGACTTCTCTTTGCCGGACCAGTGGTTCCCGTATCAGTAACTCAGAAGGTGGGCACATCGACATCCTCAGTTTCCTACGCTGTGTATGTATATACAGACAGTGACCAACATTTCAGGAATGCACGCTCAACACGTCTCGTAACAATCACACCTGTTTTTGTCAGCAGACCAGCAACTATTTTAACATATTTACCTGATAGCAAGTCATGGGAGCAGTTGAGAACAGTAGTTCCTGGCTGTATCCAAGAAAGGGGAACTTCTTCCGGCCTGGGTGAGCCTAACACCACCACGTCAGCCTCACGGAGCTAGAAAGAGAAAACCACCACACATGTTTTCATCTGTAGCAGAAAGACATGATTAACGATCTATGTCAAATGATTTCAACATAATAGATTAATCACAGTTCCAGAGTTTTGTTCCACACTGATAACGTGGACAGAGTCGTGCTATTGATTTACTAATGGGGCCCACATCAGTACGAATGGAACGTGATTATCATATCCGAGAAAGAAAAGGAGACTGACATTTTCTTCAGGGCAGTCAGCGTATGGATTATGCAGGGTATTGTCCTTTTGACATGTCTTACCCACCCACCGCAGCATGAAGAAAGGGGTGGGGCCGAGAAAACTACCCCCGAAGGAGGCAGGAAGACACACTGTGTGTATGGGGGGGGTGGTGTCCTGATTCACACAGGGACTCAGGAGGGAGATAGGACTTGATGTGGTGAGGCCGCTGGAAGACCCGGCCAGCGCAGGGGGCCTCCGGCCTGCACACTCACAATTGGAGCCATATGGCACTTGTACTAGATCTACGGAAGGATTTTCAGAGCTTGACAAAGAATCTCATTTTCCTTGAGGATCTGGTTAGTCTCATGTCAAACTGCCTTTTTCCCTTTTTTTTTTTTTTTGAGAAAAGGGAAAGCATGCAGCCACTACTATGAAACACATTCATCACGTCTGTCCCGTGGGGCTCTGACAGCGCAGCGCTGGAGGAACGTGTCTGGTACAAGGTCATGGCTAGGCTGGGCAAACAGCTGGCTGGAGCTCAACAGAAGAATGACCAACTGTCCCAGTACCAAGGAAACAACCCATGACCTGGAACCAGGTCCATAGGTGGAGGGAGAGGCGAAGCCGGACTCGGAGAGCCTTGGGGGAAATGGCAACGCCTGCACCTGTCTCAAATGTGCCAGGGTGGTGTCATGATACCCATTTAATGGACAAGGAAACTGAGGCTCAGCTACAACAAGTGTCTATGGTATGTTCTGTTTGCCCTAATGGACCCAGCCTTGGAATCCTCTAGAAGGGAGGAAGAGAGGGCAGCTACCTGCCCTTTGCTCTCCAGCAGCAACGGCCCCTCCTCTGGTACTCTTTCCTCGGATGTCAGTGCCTGCCACTGTCCCCCCCAAACCCCCGGGAAACAGGCGTGTTCCACACATCCCGCTCCGGCCTCAGCTTCGACAGGCTGATCGCTGACACTGCAGGGGAGCCTCAGCCAGCGCCCCCACCTGAGAGTCTGCAACACCGTCTGGGCATCAGCCAGTCTCTTACGCACCTTAGGATAAGAGATGGCAGCGAGGGAAAGCCAACCCATGACATTCCTGCCTGATTTATGAAGAAAGTGGCCAAGATCCAGGGCAGCTCCAAGTTTCCCTGACGGAGGAGGAGCACGTAACCATTTAATAAAGCTCAGAAACGTTTGATCGGTTTGATCATGCAAGTAGGACAAAGTGAATTAACATTCACTCAGTGCCACTAACGAGCCAAACAGAGCCTGCTGCTTTTCTGCCTCGTACTTCATTAAGGCACAGGAAGAAGATGAACTCGTGCCATGGGGTCTCAGGGAACCTACCGTATGAGCCACAGTAAACAGACAAGTCCCTACTAAAGCAACCACTCTTTTTTTATGCTGTGGTATATGGCCACCACACTGGGCCACCGACTCAAGACGTTTAAAGCCCCCATCGCCGACAGTCTAGTGCATTAATGCCGCATGTTCTCTACAGACAGGTCTGAAAAAAGCCAGACTTCTGGGTGATGTTGTATTTCAGGGGGAATAGTGTGAGGACTTTACACATCTGAAGAAGGAAATGCATTTCTTCATTTACTTCACCCATGCCAATATTTAGCTACAGAAAGGCTTAAGAGAAACACAAATGTTTAACACTGTTGACCGCGCGGAGCAGATAAGAAACGCCATTTTGCTGTATTTCCAGGCACAAAAACAGAACACGTTAAAACACGTATAAAAAGTTAATATGTACAAGACTGAAATGCTCATTTTGGAAAAAGCCAAGGATCCCAGGTTCACACAAGTCCCCTGAGAACACTTGGCTTCCTACACGTGGTGCCTCTGCTACAACCTGTTCTTTTCATTACCTATAAATCTCGGCCATCTCCTCCGGCCCCCCAGCTCCAGACCTCAGACCACAGCTCTGAAGGGGGCTGTGCTAACAAGCAGCCCGGGGACAGTCGAGCCGGCAGAGAAAGGACCAAAGTCCCCTCCCTTAGCAATGATCACATCGTAGCTGCTAATTCTTCCTGGAAGGGAAAAGTGCTCGATGCTTAAATCAATAAATAACCCACGGAGGACCAGAGATGATTTTAATGAGCTAAAATTCAAGGAGAATTATTGTCTCACTGGCAGTTTCTGCTTTCCTCCTCCCAACTGGGAAAGACCCTGGCCAGAGCCTGGCCTGAAACTTTACCTCATAACAAAATATTGTTTGCTCTGCCGAGAATTGAGTAGAAGCAGCTTAAAGAGAACCGCCCACTCCCCAGGCAGAAGACCAAATGTTAAAACAATAGCAAGACGCAGCTATGCAGACATTTAACGCAGAGCATATGGGAGCATATGGAAGGACCGGAGAGTTTAGATAACATGAAAAATGTTTTTCTCTGGCTCACTGATTTTCAAGGGGGAGGGGGGCGTAAGTGTTGAAACATGAAGAGGGAGGAAAGATGCGATTTGCAAAGTTATAAGGAACATCCTAATTCTGTAGTTAGCAAACACAATGCATTTTACAATTTAAACCATAGAAAGTGCAGCCCCTCCCTCCTCGGCTAGAAGACAGAATTAACCTTCTGCTATCGACGTGTTTCAGAAGGGTACCTTGGAGAGTTGCAAGCATGAGAAATGAATATACTGTAGACCAAAACCTGGGGTGGGTTAAAAAAAAGGTTGAGAGATATTTTTGAAGAACGATGGTTTATATTACCTGGGACTATAAAGCCCATTTCTATACCCTTCAAAAGTTATCAGCGCAGTTCAGAAAATACAGTTCAAAATGAAGAACAGTACTTTAAAAAATCAACAACAGGTTCTTTCTCCAGCAAAGATGGGATTCTAAAATTACAATCGCTCAAGGGAAGAAGAGAGATCCAGGTTTCTTTAGTGAATACACTCATCCACCTGCCAACTCTTACACTGAGGCCACCAGGACTTAAAAACAAAGTCCCTGCCTATGGACTTTATTTTTAAATCCTGGCCGCTTCCAGGTGGAGGCGCAAAGGGCAAACCTCTGGGATAGGAAAGCAATGCTGAAACACTTAGTTTCTATTTCTCTCATCCACTCAGTGGTATTTAACATCTGGTCCACACAGGCATTACCGATCAGTCCCTGTGTGTTGCCAGGTGGCTGTCACACGCAGAAAGTACAGGGAGGGCCTCCCGAGGAAGGGAGGTGGCTCCTCACATGGTGCGTGTGAGCCCAGTTCGAGGCTTTAAAGACCAGATTAGGGTCCACAGAAGACTCACTGCTTTGCAGTAACAGGGTGTCCCTGAAATCTCACGTGGCATGGAGGTTCCCTGACTATCTCATGGCAAAGTCCTAAAAGGAGTTAGTTAGGTGCTGTTCTTCTTTTGTTAAATGAAATGTCACTTTCTTTCAGTCAGTGCCAAATCTCCAAATGTGTGGACAAGTAGCTGTCAGACGGGGCTGCTGTCGTTGGTTGCCCTCACACCACAGGCGTGTTCTCAGAAGCCGACCCTGGAAGCTGACCTGCAGACAGGAGAGAGGGCAAGCCCAATACTGAGACTCCAAAGAGGAGGCTGCTGGGCCTGGAGCTAAGGACGGTCAGCAAGGAGGGGGGACCACAGGCTGGGATCCGTCAACACACAGCAGCTTGGGTAAGAGCTCTGAGGGAAGCAGGGAAGGTGGGAAGGAAAGGGGTTCAAGTACACCCCTGGGAAGAGCGCCTCTTCCATGGGAAGTGAAGAGGAACGGGTGATGGGATGCGGGTGTGGACCGGGGGGAGAGGTGTGTGTGTGTGTGTGGCTGACCAGTTGGGATGGTGCGCAATGGCCAAGCAAGCTAAAAGCAAAAATAAAATAAAATAAACCCCACTTTTGGCAATTAGGAATCCACCAGCGGCTTTAGCACAGACATGGGCATCTCAGCCACACCGTCAATGCCTGCCACTGGGGTGCAGTGGTCCCCGCATATGGAGATTCCCCTCGGGCAGAGTCTTCATGAGCAGAGTTCCTGTTCATACACACACTGTTCTAACTTAGAATGTCTAATTTTTTATCCACGTTAACGGAACACAGGATTATTGCTTTGTGCCGATGGATCAATATCCACATTTTCCTGAAATATTAAGCACACGATCAAACAGAAATGACTCAACAGCTGTGTAAGTACCCCAAAGAAAGAATGTCAAGCAATTTGCATTCAGATGTTGTAATATTTTGGCAAGATAGGGGAAGAACGATTTCAGCGAAAGGACATTCCCCCAGTCCATGCACACCAAGTGATCTCATCTGGGGAGAATTTTCCTTTCAGGAATTGGGTATGTTTCTTTTTTCCACCCTGCTCGGTGATCAGTGGAACAGATTATTGGCCTTTAAAATTAAGAACTCCCTTATGGCTATTTCATAAATCAGAAGGACCACAAGCCAAGTGAACAGTAAGGGACTCTGACTACAGCTCTGATCTTACCCACGTTCCCCCCCCCCCCCCCGGGCTAATAAATGACCTTTCTCTAAAGGTCCCTAAGTTCACCTCTTATGCCATCATTCAATGTATGTACTGTGCAGTGTATGAGAGCAGAATATCAAAGATATTCAGTTGTGCCCGAAATGATAGAAAAGGTACTTAATTCCCCTTCAAGTGACCCTGATACTCACAAACACCAAGATTTGAGGAAAATGCAACCTCAAATCTAGTGATGGGTATACTTTGAATGATTTGTCAAAAATAATTCCTTTCCTCACACCCTAGGAAATAAATAAAATTAAAAAGCAGGGCTGAGAGAGACATAGAAAGACTGTGCGTGTGCATGTTGACAGGGAATCTAACGTGACAAAG